GCAGCAGGCTTGCTAGACGGCCCGTTAATGTTGACGCAAAAGCGCATGTAAAAAAATGACGCCGCAACATTAAAAAATAAATGAATAATAATAACCCTAGGAAAACTGTTTGGTAAGGCGTGCCCTACCGTGATATTATTCCCTTTACATTGCCTCATTAAAATGACCGCGGTCAGTCACAGGCCAGTCAGATGACCTCCGCGGGCCGCGGTTTGGAGACCCCTGTTCTAAACGGTCGGCGCGGCGTGCGAAGGCACAAAGACACGGCACTTCGGCGTGCCAAGGAAGCTTTGAACACGCCGCCAGACCCTTGCGTTCGACGAGTTGTGCCTTTTTCCCGCAACACTGCGCTTTTGTAAAATTTTGTTTTACAACCGCTTGTTCAAAACGGCAAGTCTCAACAATACACTGAGTCTTAAAAAATTTCTTCGGCGAATGACGACGAGCGAGTAGAAAACGTGTCTACAGCACGCTGGAAAACCGCAGCAAAAGGCTAGCAAAGCCGCAAATCGTATCCCAATCGAGTGAAGTCCGGTGCGCGTAGTCCGGTGGCTTCACTCGCGCTGCAGCGAACAAGCGCGGAAGCGCGATCCAGCAGGTTTTGCTAAACATTTGCTTAGAAAAAGTAAAAAGCAGGACAATTATTAAAAAAAAAAAAACACGTTTAGTATATATGTTATGTATTATTTGTGCATTCTAGATAAAACGTATTGGAGCCTTATGTTTTGCTCGTTTTACTGACTTGTAGCGCCACCTTGGTTGAGAATGAAATAGTCAAACTTTCGTTCAAATTTCGATACGAGGGAACACAAATGTAAACGATTTGAACGCTTTTAGCTTTTAGCAACCTCCGGACACAGAGCGAGTTGCGCGGCTCGAACACGGATGGCGCCACCATAGAGGTGTACGACAGCGCTCGCGTGGTCGGAGGCGCTCATTACTAAAAACTAAACAAAACAATAATGAATCAAACCTCATTCAAATTTAGTTATGACTGCATATTATTTTACTAAATACAAATTAAGTATTCCTAAAGATATAATATATTTTTTTAAAAGTTCATGTCAACATCTCGCTCTCAAAATTGTGCTTTTTTCTGTTTTTTGCGTTTCTAAAACGAAACCGCTGTTTATGCGCATGCGCGCTTGCGCTCTGCGCGTTCTGAAACCAGTGGACCGTTGTGGAGGCGTCCGTGGGTCTGCTCGGTGCTTACGCGCTTTCGCTCGCCTTCGGAGCGTCAAGCTTCGGCGCCTCGATCATCGCATTGCGCGAGCCTCGCACTTTCGGGCAAGTGGAAAGCTTTTCGTGTCTTTGAACCACCTCATTTGTGCGGTTACGCAAAGTCGTGCCCAAGCAGCGTCGGGGACAAGAAGCACCCGTTCGTTTGGATCCCAACTGACGACGGTGAGTTTGAAAGTTTTCACCCCAATTGAAACTTTTCCTAAGCTGATCTTCCAGCCACAAATTGCACCATTGGAGGGTTTTGTACTCTTTTAGGTAATTGAATATATCGTTTCATTTTTGAAATTTACAAAATGTCACCGTGATTTCATTGCGATCTACCCATTTCGGCGAGCGTTCTTAGCACGGTTTTGTGGATGAAGACCGTCCTGCAAATATTTTACGATCTGTAGACTGTTGGCGAAATATCCCCTCCTCTACCTCTCGTCGAGCTCGTTCACAGCAGTGTCGATACCCCGTCGAGTAAATTGAAGTCTCTATATAAATATTCTTCGCCCAGTTTTATAATATTTCGGAGTTCACATCCTCCAATATCTGCCCGTTTTTATTAATGTATCTCGTGTAGATTCTTTTACAGCCCTGCGACTCGTTTTTTCACGTTTTATTTCTTTCAAAAATAAATAGAAAGCTGGATAGTAAAATAATTTTAAAGACACTTTTAAAATTTTGAAAGATTTACGCATAGAAAGGCGGAATGCAGACAGCAGAGCTTGATCGCGAGATGTGCTATCCGTCCTTCCATTTGCAATTCTTTTAAAAGTTTTTACACCTCCCAACGCACTCCCCTCAAAATTAAAACTCGCGTTAGGCATTTTTTTTTCGTTTGTTGCAGATAAAATAGCATCATTTGCATTTTTTTTTTCTTTTTGTGTATTCATACAGATTCTCAAGGCATGAAAATCACTCCAACAAGCCTCAGGGACAGGGAACCCCATAGACAAAAGGTATGTCCGTGGTAACTTTTTTGTGAAGTGCACTTTATTGTTTGCCAACCTATCAAGCTTCCTGAATATGTAACCATCAGCATGCTAGGTTCCGCCGTAGTGATCTATGCAGTCTAATCTACGATCAACTGTACTGTAAAACGAGAGTGGCTGGGGCAAAGAGAATTACAACAAAAACAAAAGGATAGTAGGAGCAGCCCTCTGCAATATTTCATAGCCCTGTTTCTCTTCTGCAAGTGTATGTGTTGTGACGAGACAAACTAATGTGTTCTTACATTGTCCTGTGCAGATCCTGGGAGGATAGAGAACACACATACAGCAAAAATTAGAAAGAGCAATGAAGTGGCTGGCCCATCCCATGGGCATCATAGGATCTCGGTGGCCCACACCAAGAAAACCTGGTTCAACTCGTGGTTCAACTTGACGGTGCAAGCGACAGGTATCGGAAGCTCATCATGAGGCCAAGAGAAATGAGAAATACCCAAGTGGTCTACAGAGAGCTAGGTCTACACATTATTAAATCTCTAAAGATTTTGGTTCAAGTCTGTAAGTAAGCAACGAATAAGTTTGCCCGAATTACAATTCATTGTGTTAACTGTTTATTTGCATGGACCAGTCAGAATGACACGAGCTTTCAACTAGGCATGAAATCTTTTGGCTGTGCTTCTTAAGACCCTCGAGAGGCAATGTTGTCCACTGCGTCAGCAGGTTGCTCTTTGCACGATTTTTATGGAGCGAGATCATAGACTAACAGAAGCCTCTGAGCATCCACTTTGTTTAGACACATTGTTAGCCTGCTGGTGGCCAACAACCTCTAGGCAGTTTTCTTTTTAGAGTGGGAGGGCAAGGGGGGAAATATCTGTTGCTTCGAACCAGTGATTCCAGGACCTTTGGCAGCTAGAATTCAAACTACGTATTTGGAGAGTTTCACTCTTTAAGATCTCAAGTTTTGGTGGACAATATCTGACCCACTAAAATTTTGCATTATTGTCTTATTACGCAGGTTGAAGAATTGATGTTTTATCGTAATATACGTTCAAGTTGGTATTTGAGATTCCACAACCTATAACCATTTAAATATCTTCTTAAACATACCTCACCGCAGGCACGTAGTTAGGATGTTGTTTCGGGGATGGGGGGGGGGGGGGGGGGGGGGGGGGGGCGGCGCTTATGACAAAATGTTGTATGGGGGGAGGGGGGAGAGGTCCTAGCATAGTGGAAGATTTTGGGGGGGGGGGGGGGGGGGCAGGCCCCATGGGCCTCCCCCCTGGGCCTCCCCCCTGGCTACGTGCCTGCCTCACCAATAGGGCTGTTTGCATACAATTCTCCGGCAAGGCTGCATATTTACTTCGCACTGGGTTTGCTTCTATGTAACACATATCAGAAATTATGATTGTTTTCATGTCACGGAAACAGATATTTCTATTTGCTGTTACAATATTCTCTTTTTAATATGGACATCCCCAGTTTCCAAAACAATTCTCCATAATGTTGGTCATCCATAATCTTGAAGAATAAACAATGAAGGTGGTATGTTGTTTATTTTTGTCATCTGCAACTGGGAAAGGGAAAGAGCTGCAAGTGATTCAGGCTGGAAACCCCTGAAAATTGTAACCATTGTCATATCTAACAATTGTGCAGCTCTGGGTAAATTCCGTAACCGAAGAGCTTTACTAAAAAGCGCGACAGGACAACGAACACAGAAGGAGACACAGACACAGTGCTGTGTCTCCTTCTGTGTCCGTTGACCTGTCGTGCTTTTTAATCATTATGAATCACCAACTCGCCCGACTTTCTACCCTCCTCATTCTTTTTTGCCACACTAATATATTTCCCCCCATTTTTTTTTTTTGGCGTTTGTCGTTACAGAGGCCAAAATAAAAAGATAAAAAACAAAAAAAAACAACATGTATTTATCCGTTTCGCTCCCAAGCTAGCTGTCCATAGTACGTACTTCGTGTTTCTTTATTTAACGTGACGAGTTTGAATTGTATGGGGACACATATCAGTCCCCGAAAATATGACATTTATAGCGGCGTGACCGAAACGATCGACCACGTTAGCGAGACACGCTAGCGAGACACGTTAGCGAGAACTAAGGCAGTAATAGTTGGTGGGCGCCGATAGCCTTTCAAAGTGAAAAAGCTATGTCATGTTCGCGCTAACAGTGTCGCACATTGTATCTTCACTTAGCACCTCTTGCTAACGTAGATACTGCGCTCATTATTAATTTTTTTTCCACATAGCAACGCTTGTATAAGGTGACAGTGTAAATTGTTTTTCCTTGTCATGAAAATGACTGAATAAATGCGTCAACGAGTGCGAAAAATGCTGCATTTGTTTCGATTCCCTGGAAGACGCGGACGACAAGTAACGGACTGCCAACTGCTGGACACAAGGTAGGCAAGCATAACTTACAATTCTTTGCCATAACACGTGGTATGGCACGCGCGGACCGCAAATTTCCAAACAAAACCTACCGCGGTACCGGCGGTACCACGGTAGGGAGCAGCGGCAGGGCACGGCGGAAGGGCTGCGCCATGTTGGATTTTGAGCGGCTTCGTCTTCGCAAACGGCTAGGAAAGCCGCTCCAACTAGCTCGACGGCGTCAAAAGTAATTAATAAAACATTAGCGCTTCAATTTATGAACATAATTATCGTTGCTTATTTTAGTTTCGCAATCTATTAATAGAGCAATGAGGCTTCGATTCGTTGCAGTAATGAGCGCCTCCGACCACGGAAGCGCTGCTGAGCGCCCAGTTTTCCCAGAAATCGACTCCATTGGGTCTATGGGAGTGTCCTGGCACTGCTTTTAGTGTTTTTAGTGTAGAGCTTGGTGTGGTTGGCGCGACTTGTCAAGAAGCATGCTGCACTCAGTCAAACATACAAATTTCGTGGAGGTGCCGCTCCGCGAAACGACCGCTCCCAAATGGAAAGAACTGGCGATCAACACCGGGGCGGCCCAGAGCACGCTGGAAGACATCAAGCTCGCCGAGCGAGCCGGCGGCTACGTCTACCAGAGCACGGGCGGCGCGACGCGCAACCGCTTCATCTACTGGAAGACCAACAACAACGTGCTCGAGCTCACTGAAGAGTCCCTGGATGTCAACCTGATTGGGAACAGGCTTCGTCTCCGCTTTCAGCACACGCCGCTCCTGGAAGGGGTCTCCATCTTCGAGACGCAGAACTGCGTCGTCGTACTCGCGGCCACGGTCGCTAGCGTGCATCGGATGTCCTTTCCGCATCCTTGCCGCCTCAACCCGGACACCGTGTCCCGCCACCACGGCTTGACGAGCGGGCCCTCCGTCTTCTTCGACGCGTCCGTGTCCCTCCTCCGCGACTACCACGTTCTGAACCACGTCGGCCTCGGCACTACCCTCTCCCACAACTCCTGCAGCTGGCTGGGCCCCAACGGAGAAGCCATTTTCGTCCTGGGCACCAACACGTCTGCCCTGTTCGTCGTGTCCATCGATCCCCAGGACGCTGGAGGCCAAGTGTCCTCCATGGAGATCCGCAAGAGCATGACCGTCGGCCGTTTTCTCAGCAACATCCTTCCCACGTCCCTGCGGAGCGACGAAGCGTCCATAAGCCTTGTCTGCCACCAGGCCGATGACGACGTCTTCATCTTCGCGCTTTCGCGCGACCTCCGAATTCGCCAGTGGTCGTACAGGCGGCAGGACCTCCTCATGATGAAGTCTGTCCAGGAGCACTGCAGCGCCCCCTCGTCCCGCTCCGCGTGCATGTACAAGGCTACCGACAGTCGAGGACCTGACCTCCACTTAGGCGTGTACATCAGCTTTCCCGAAAAGAGTGAGTTCTTGCTCTTCAGGCAGGTCCAGGACCACGGAAACTACAAGATCTCGTACGTCACTACCGTGCTGGCGCCAGAGAGCGACCTCGTCGACTTCTGCTTGACGTCTTCGTGCCTCTGGACGCTGTGGGTGAAGCAGAATGACGAACCTGTGGTCTGCATGAAGAACTTCAGGGAAGAGGGTTTGTATCAGAGTGCATGGTCCGGAGTCTTCCTACAGAGGGGTGTCCCGACCGAGAAGATCACCGTGCCTACGGTACTCGATGCACGGGAGATCTACCTCGAGAAGATTTTTGGACACGGCGCTTTCTCGTACACGACGCTTTCGAAAGCCCTCGGCATGTACAGCAGACGTGGAGAGTCCAGCGCGAATCCAGCCTTCAGCTGTCGGACGCTTAAGGACGAAGTTGTTCTGGCTGTTGAAGCCGAGATACGTGCCAGTGCCACCGAGGTTAGCGAAGCCGAGCTTGCAGATGTTGAGTATGTGAACTTGGCACTGAAGTGCTGGGGAAGGTTCTACCACACGTGCATCCAGTACCACGAAGTGGGATCAAAGCCGCTCGGTCTCTTTGTGGACCCGACTTCCCAGCTGACTGCCCTAATCCGGAGAGACCACATCTCTATGCTACGGCCATGTGAGAGACTAGAGTCTTTAGTCCTGTCGGAGAATGTCGCTGATGACAACAGCACCCTGGTGCTGATTAGACACATAAAGGAAATCAATTCCCTGCTTACTGCAGATATGCTCTTGGAGTTTGCCCAGGGACTCTACAACATGGAAAGTCCAGGAAGTCTTGCAACAAGGCTGGCCAGCCAGTTGACGAACCATTTTCAGCCGGGGCTCCAAGAGATCTTAAGGACAGATCTGGACCTTGTGCCCGCCCTGAAAGACCTTGTCGGCTGCATGGATCTTCGAAGAGAGCTCACTGCTCTGCCAGATCAAGATATGTACTACCATAACAGCTGGAACCTTTTGTTCACGAGCATGACCGGCAGGGATTTTGTTGCAAGCTGCTTGTGCCAGTCTATGCGTTTTCGCTTCACTTTCTGCCAAGATCTTCTCCTCCTGGAGTGCCTTCTGCTCAACATAGCCAACAAAGAGAAGGGGGCAAAGCAGAAGTGCATGGACATAAGGAACAACCTGCTCCCCAAAACAGAGGCACTGGTTCGAGCTTACTATGTCGCTCTCTGGGCAACCGAAACAGAAGGCAGCCCTGTTTCAAGTGTCCTCGAGGGAGGCATCAGCCGCCTGTCGCTGAGCAGTCGGAGCGATGGGTTCGGCATCCTGTGCCAAAACACGCAGCCGTCCAGTCTGGCCTGGCTCTTCCTGAGAGATGTTGGTGGCGACCTTGTCCGCAGGAGGCTTACCCAAAGCTGCAGGTTGGTTGAGGAATGCGAGCTCTGGGACCAGGTGCTTCCAGCATACATCCAGGCCACAGCAGAACTCATATGGCCCTTTGCACCAGAGTACGCTTTTGCAAAGGCTCTGCTAGACCTCGGCCAACACCTCCAGCTTCAAGAGTATGTCCGGCTCCTTGGTAGTTGGTGCAAGCAAAACAGCGGAACCTGCCAGTTCCTCCTAGCCACCAGTCTGCTCAGCTGCAACGAACCCCAAAAGGCCTGCGAGCTCTTCCAAAAGATTGCCAAAGGCCCCTTCCTTGAGGAGCCCTTCCTTCAGCCCCAGATAGGGATGCTGGTAGGTGACGAGGAGCCACAATCCGAACGGTCTCCCCTGGTACTGTACTTCCTCCGGGTCATCAAAGCCTTCGAGCAAGCGGGACATTTGGAATACGTCGTGGAGCTTGCCATGACCGCACTCTACGCCGTCACAGGACCCAACGACCCCAAGCTGCCCACGCTGTGGTCACTCGTCTTCCGCTGCCAGCTGGAGCTCGGCCACATAAAGCAAGCCTACGACGCCATCATCCAGAACCCTGATGCGGAGGAATGTTCTCAATGCCTCCGCCAATTCGTAGTTGTCCTCTGCGAGCGCCGTCAGCTCTCGACCTTTGTGTCGTTCCCGTTCAAAGAGGTCATCAACGAGGTCACCTCCATCTTGAAGACCCGCGCGAGAGCAACGGACCTCCTTAATTCGCCCTACTATGATGTCCTCTACGCCATGTATGTCAATGCCAAGCGGTACCGAGAGGCCGCCGCAATGATGCACGAGTATGGCTCGCGGCTGGGACAAGAAGTACCAGGCAGCCAGAGCTTGCGCCGTCAGCAGCTCTGTCTGCTGGCCGCGATCAACTGCCTCCTCCTGGCCAAGCCAAAGTATGCGTGGATCACAAGTCCGCTGCTCGTGCACGCTTCCGCCGATCGGTCTCCCAAGCGCGACTGTGACGGCGAGGAGGTGCCTCAACAGGCGAGCCGCAGAGTGGAAGTCATCACGGTCGAAGACATCCGCCGCGAGCTGTGCCTCATCCAGGCGTGGCTGCTCCTGGTCGAATCAGGACAGGAGGGCATTTCCACGCCGCTGTCTCCCGAAGAGACCACAACACTCCTGGTAGTCAATGGTCATTTCGACGTTGCCACCAAGGTCTGCAAGTCGTACCAGCTGGACCTCGATGTCGTGTTTGAGGGCCTGGTCAGCCAGTGCACGAAGAGAAGTTCTGGCGGAGCGCAAGACGTGCATGCCATTGACCCACAGTGGATCATAGAGAACCCGAGGGCGGTCCTCGACATACCGGAGCAGGCATGGTCCCTGCTGCGGCACTACCTACAGGAGTACGAAAGCGAGCCTGGTCTCACGCGGGTACCATCGCCTGGTAGCGTGTCAGTTGCTGACGCACGGCTACGTCCTGCCGCCGTGGTTCCTGGCGTCGTACAAGGTGCGGGATCCCGCAGAGCTGCTGCGGTTATACATGACGTACGGCAAGCTGGAGGACGCGACCGACCTGGCCGTGGAGTATGTGGATGCCACTCTGGGAATGGGCAGGGAGTACTTCGGACTCCCGAATGCGCTGCACTCCACGGCGCCGCCAGTGTGGTTGCCGCACGCCGTGTTTGACCGTCTTCTGGTTCTGCTGAAGACTTCGGGGAAGATGGAGGAACAGCATCGCCGGCTCAGTGCAAGAATGCAGGAGTATCTTGCGACGCTCGAACGCGTCTCGGCAAAAATGCACTAAATCTGTTTAAAAAAAGAGAAAAAAAAAGTTGAATAAATGTTATATTCTTTTGGCTGTTGCTTGCTTCCTGCTGGCACCCCAATAATAGGGAGCTTTAGAATAGTGTGCCCCCGACGCTTGGGGGCCCCTATTCTACAACTCCCTAATGAAGGCGGAGACAAACACGGGTAAAATTCAAAATTGAGGGGGTCATCATGCCAAACCAACAAAGGGCACCTGCCATGCCCCAATGGTGCACTGAAGATACATTTCGACCACCTGGGGATATTTTCATGTGTAACCGAAATCTCTGTTCCATGGTGCCTTCTCCGCAATAAGCCTCCATCAGAGTGTAGGCACCTCGACCAGGATGCGAAGCCGCCACCTGGGTATCCTCTGAGCCACCCAGGTGGTTGACAAGTGTGGGTCGGTGAGCAAAGGCGAGTCGCAACAAAGTGCTCCTGAAATCCAGAAAAGGAGCAGTCCGAGATGGAGGGCAGCGGCCACTGCACCCCATCCACATGCTATCCTTTGTAGCTATAGTTCAACTTCTCAAGTTGAGACAGCGCCACGGATATCTTCCGGACGTCGCTTGGTCGTTTCGGCTTACATTGTACGCGACTGTCCCTGCTGATAAGGGCTTTTATATAGTCGCTAAATTTACAGTGTTTACTATCACTATATTCAGTCTCGGGGTAATTTGGCAGATGGCGAAAGCCATGGTGCTAGTGCGTCTGAGGGAGACATCAAACTATTTTCCATCTCGCTAGTAGTGCGCAGTGCCGTCAAAGCCACGGGCAAGAGAAAGGGAAAGTCACTTTTTTAAGAATGTTGAGCGACGGGATAATCTTCTAGGGGGAGAAAAGTGACGTCTGGGGATACACAAGAGGGTCTGGGTAAGAGAAGGACATCCTCCTTTCCCTTTTCTCCCACTGCTTGGGTTATGCTCTCGCCCGTTCTTTTAATAAGGCCCGTTGCATGCTTTGGCTCAATTACTCCGATTGGCTCGAAGGGGCCGTGGCGTTGGCTCTTTGCCAAGGTACGGTCAAACGAAGTATAGCAGCTAGCCTAATAATGTGCGATGCACCCAGTGCATACGAGCACACCCGATCTCAATATGCTATAGATAGCAGTCGCTGCCGGGATCACAGCCTCAAAGCCAGTTTCAAACTGCATCTTTTGACGAGGACTTGGGTTGCTTGTTGCGAGACAATGCCACAGCTCTAAAGCGTGTCGCGTTACATCAGTGATGTGAAAGCCTGTAGACTTCCGCTTGGCAATTAAGCCTACCAGATATGACAGGTCACAAGTGACCCATAAGAGAAGTAGCCAACTGCATGCAAGTTTGTGTGTACAACGGTGCAAAAAAGTAATCGAGCAGCTTCAGTAAAAAAAGCAGCATATTTTCCGGTTATAAGTCGCATCCCATATTATTGTCCATTTTCTTGAAAAAATTGGGACATGAGTCGCTTTCCTGTAAGGTCGGCACGGCGAAACTCCATTGAGAAGTCCACATATGTGCACTATTGTGATCACAATACATATGCACAAGCAGAAGCAGTCCGTTTCAATATTCTTGCCAATGAATTGAACGAGAAATATAGCGCCCATGGCTGTATTAAAGTGCAACTTGCCCCTCAGTTATAAAAAAAAAGTGTATACAAGTTGAAAATTGTACAAAATGCATAGACGAAAGTTTGGGGAAAAAAAAAAGACATTAATACACCGGAAAATGTGGTAGCATGCGGTTTCCTTTCGAAGGCTTGAAACACCAGACTGTCGCGCTCTTTGCTTTTTGGAATAGATGGCCAAAGAAATGTGGAGCACAGTGCACAAAAAATAAATTCACCGACCACCATATTCAAGTGTGTTAATGTTATAGCAAACTGTATTGGAAACCATGCAGTTTGTTGTCAGACAGGGATGGCAAGTCAACTTGAGTCATATCTGAAGCTGTTGACCATACATGGATCTCTTGTGGCCCATTAAGGTAGAGAGCGGTGTTGCAAGGTTTTATTTTGACACCAGTTGTTAGGCACTACAATCAGATATGGGCACATTACTGCTAAAATGCAAGTGTTACAGTCACACAGGCAAAAGAGTAACACTGTTACAGTCACAAAATTGAGAGCAACTTGTTACAGTTACTTAGCTAAAGTAATGCCGTTACTTCGTCATTACTTTACAAAAAACATTAACAAGGAAGCTTCCTTAATATGCCTTTAATTTAGCATAGATTTCTTATAAGACATTGTGTTGTTCACAGTAGTGAATCTTATTGTATTGAGAAACTAATATTTTCTTAATAATTAATGTTAACATGTTTGGTTCTTCCTATTTAAATTTTTACCATAAATAGCTCCTTGAACAAGATTATAATTTAAAGCAGTATCCGAGTACATCCACTATATGATAAAGAATTGAGTCTCTTCTTTGTTAGTATACACTAACACAACAGCACGCGTCCAGATCTCGTGTATATTCAATCATGGTGCCAATTTACAATCTGTCAATTCTAATTTCAAATTTCTTTGATGAGGCGAAATTGGATGGAAGCGATAAAAAAAGTGATAGCAGTTTACAACTCCCTGTAACGCCGAATTAGAGCGCAGCTCTTGAGGAGGAGAGAAGAGTACTGGGGGTGGGTGGGGGTCAAATGATTTCGGGGGGGGGGGGGGGGGGGGGGGGGGGGGGGTCACGTGACGATGATGCCAATGACGTCATCAGTGACGTCACTGATGACGTCATTAGTGATGGTGGCGATGACGATGCGGATGCCGTCACTGATTAGTGATGATGACAATGCGGATGCCAATAACGTCATCAGTGACATCACTGATGACATCATCAGTGATGATGACGATGACGATGCCGGTGACGTCATCAGTGGCGCCACCGATGAAGTCATCAGTGACGATGATGTCATCATGGGGGGTTCACGTGACCTGGGGGGTCAAGTGGGGGGGGGGGGGGGCTCGCGCGGTGCATTATGAGACATTTCCCATAATGCACCGCGCGGTTACGCCGATGGCGACGGCGACACCGCTCAAGCCGGAAACGGGCCCCTAAGAGCTGCGCTCTAAAATCGGGCAAATGCGAAGTCTATAATAATGTAAGTCATACCTAGCAATCAGCTTTGTAGATGTTTTCTTATGCCACTCCAATCCACTCATCGGTCGAATCGTTTTCTACTGCGTGCGCACTATCTTTCATGAAACCTACAGCTTCCCTTGAAAACTTGCGGAGACCAATGTTGAATGCTACGGCAACATTCCTCCGTCAAAATAAGCACTGATCGAGGTACAAACGACCACTGCATGTAGAATTCCAAATGGCTGTTGCAACCTTTTCTCCACCACTTCCTAACCAGATTGAACATGCTTGTACTCCTCCATCTCACCACCCGAAATAGAAGAGACGACCCGGAAAGCCCACGACGTAAATATCTATAAATCAACTGATGTCAAGTGCCCCTGGTCCTGGCTAAGGGCGGTCTTTCAACTTCAAGAAAACACACAAAAAAGCAGAACAACACAGACGTTTCGAGCGAATACTCTTTCTCAAGTGACGGAACCCGAGAAGGGAAGTGGGTGACGGGAGGCAAGGCCAGTAATTGGGTTGTTAAAAAAAGGAAGGGAGAGTAAATGGACCTGAAGTCAAGACCCCGCAAGAGTGCATCTGGGAGTTAGACGATTCAAGTTAGAGGGGAAGGAAACGTATGCTTGGCGGCAAGATGAGGTTCGGCAAATTGGTTGTGTCGTAAGCCTGTGAGTGTCTGGGGTGACAATCACCGAAAACTGCCCTCTGTAAAAAGTACTCGCTCCCTCCGTCGGACAAAGAAAAGAAAAAAAACGCTTTAGAGATGTCGCGCTTTGTTACATCTGCGTGCACTGTGGGTGATGTACCATACACGGCTAGTACGGACACAAATGACCCCATCCTCCCAGTTGGCGGGAGCAGCTTGGCCAAGCAGGGTCCCCCAAAATTTAGTTTCTTTATATTCTTTTTTTTCCTTGGTGCTACAGACGTTTTCTGCAGCAGTTTTTGCTGTGCCCTTCCCATACAAGAACTTGGGACTCCGTCACGTGTTGCGAGACAGCTTGGTGGTCGTGTCTGGAATATTTTTTAACATAAATCTGAGAAGTAACTGCAACGTTACTTTTTACGGTAACTTTCGAAAAATAGTAACGCTGTTCCAGTTACAAGCTCGTTTCACTATGCAGTAACAAGTTACAGTGTTGCAACTTGCCGAAAAAAGTAACTACTAGTTACCTGTAACGCGCTACTAGTTTACTGCCCAAGACTGGCTACAATACCCCACCATAAGCCTGGGTGCAGAATTCTGAATTCCAAGTGGAAAGAAGAGACAGAAACCATAAAAAATAGTTTCCCTCCTATCTGTTCTACCGGAGGTACAACAGGTCTGGGTGCAGTTGACACTGAACAGATGGGGTCAATTAACAGCAACAGAAGTGTGGTATCTGGTGCCTTTGGTAACATATGTAGCAAACCTTTTGCCAAATTATCCAAGCAACAAGAATAATGCTTAAAACGCAGGCACAAGAGCTACATCGGCTCGCCTTATTTGCATTAAAGAGTCGAAGCAAACAACTAAAACACATGCAAAGTGCAATTTGTTTTGAGTTCTTGCTTTAGAACAGTTACTGCTGCAGACGTCATCAAGCACAGCGCATGTAACTATGCTTGCACATGCTCTTTGGTGATTTCGAAAAAAGGTCTATTGCCAGAATCTAGTGCAAACAGTGCAACATGACCTTGTGCTTTTAGTCTGTGTGTAGGTGTTTTTATGTGTTCCATACTTTGACTGCACTCTTGACTAAAGGTGAAATAACATACTACTATACTAACACATATTAGCAAGTGGAAGCTTAGGAGCCTTTAATACACCCTAAGTGTATCCCACTAATCTATACAAATACTAATACATGCCTGCAAATGCTCTGCAGTGCTTGAGTTACTTGGTAAAAAGGTTATTATGTATTAGTTAAGGTCCACATAGAAAAAACAAAAAAATGTTATGCTGGAAGTTATGACAATTGAAAACAGCTCAAGCATTTTCTTTCATTATTTATTTTCGTGGAACATCTGCAACTCGATAAAAGATATCTCTTCATAAACCCTGGTGAAATGTATGCTGAAGTCCCACTGTGGAACAAGCCTCCTTCTTTTGAGGCAAGCAAACATGTGCCAAATATTAACTAAGCATCGCTACACCTCTTTGGAAAAAGACTACCATAGTCTTTTAAGCTCTTGAAGGTATGATAAAAAAAAATTAAGTGCAATGAACTCTGCAAGCGTTATGTACAGCAAACAAGTTATGTGCAGTTGGTGCATGGATTACTGCTGTTCCTGCTGTTGGCAGCGTATGATGTCATTGTACACCGCAGTCCACTGTTCTGGCCGTACCCCGTTGCCCAAGACCTGCAAGCAAAATAATGGTGTTGGTCAAAGCCTGAGACAGCCTGGCATAACCATGGTTAGAAGATTACAAGTCTTTTGGGGAGACACGGGTCTTTGGGGGCAGAAAATCTCTAAAAAACAGTTTTTTGGGAAAATGCCAATTTTGACATCTACCAACTACAGCTATTTTTCTTCTGATCTGCCAAGTTTCTTATTTTGAAGATTAATATTTAAGCTATAACATCGCTTTATAACATCTAGGCAAGCTGAAATCGCACTGAAGTTGATGCTAAAACAACTTTCTCAATACACAAATTTTGGACTGCATATTTGCACAACGGATACCTCGGTGTCTAAGGCAGGCAGATATATAACTTTATTAACATGTAGCTAAATGTGTAAAGGATACAATGTTGAAAGCAGATTTTTCAATGTGGGTGTAGGAAAATTTTTAACCGAGCTATGTTTTATTGCTTGTTAGCGACACGTTGAACTTCAATGTGTTGTAAAGTCACTAATACTGATTTAACCTAAAAGTGCTTCCAACATTTGTTTTCTTCAGAACTTGCAGTATCTGGCTACATGCTAAAATATAAGTTTTAAGACAGTTTTCCCTACTGTTTTTAGAAGGAAAGGTGAGTTAATGATATTATCCTAAAAACTAACCTACTAAATAAAAAAAAAAACAAAAAAAACATATATTTGAAATCAGGACAAAAATCTGAAGAAGCTTATGCTGTTTCATTTGGTTTAGTAAAAAAATAAGGAAGAAAGCTCCAAGACCAGTGTTTCCCTTTAACACCTTTACTTGCATTAGCAAGTGAAAGCGTGTAGCAGTTATGTTGAGAACTTTCAAGAGCAGAAAGATGAAATACGATCCAACTACACTTCGGCAAGAAATGTCGGCAAATGCGTGGAATGGAGTTGCTCAGATAAGCGTGAGGTCTGACTCGTGGCTGACTATACTTCAAAGATAATTGTTGATAGGAAGGGTATAAATGTGTGTTTGTGCTAAATTAGACGCATGCTGAAAGAAGCGGGTTGTCTGGACATTGTTTGCACAATATGGATGTTTTGTGGGACTTGTCAGCACGACAAAGTTTTTGTGAGTGGTAGGCGACCCGTAAAAGTTAGGTCTTTAGGTAAATTAGTCTCTGGCAGGTGTGAGAACGGTCTTTCACACCAAATAAAGAAGCGATTACATTTGATAATGTGTGTGTGTGTGGACATCCAAATCTCCTGAGGCTTTAAAGGCATGGGGTTCCACTATTCTTTGTGATTAACAAATAAAAAACTGACAGTTTCTAAGCATTCACGTGTATTTCTCTTGCTGCAGTGACTTTTGTGGCAATTTTTTTCCAATCTACTCTAGTCAGCGGAGTTCACTCAAAGTTCGTACAGGCTTCGAAGAAAAGGATACGAAGGTTTTCAAGGACTTTAAAGGGCCTGTAAAGATATTTCTGAGGACCCCTTCTAATACTCCATCTAGTAAATTTATAGTATAACAACTTCTAAATGCACTTCGAAAATTCTCTATTGAACGATATCTAGGAAAAGGAGCAATTGCCAAAGAGGTGCTAGTAAAGGGTTCAGCAGAGCTACTGCAGCTTTTCCTTGATTTCCTGGTTGATGTTTAGAAGTTCTTGCATCTTCGTTTTCGCCGCTTTCCTTAGGCTGTTAGACTCGACAATGTAGGTGACATCACTTGCCTCTGCTTTCTCAGTGCTGTAGTGGCACTTTTCGGGCATTGCACACTATGTCCACCATGTTTAGCATAAAACAGATGCAAAACAAGCAAACCAGGAGTGGCTAGCAAACAGTATGCGAGAGAACAAGGCAAGTGAGGAGCAAGATTGCAAATGGGTGAGACTGGATTTGGAACCACTGGGACTGCTATCATTGTGGCCAGGTACTTATTGTGCATTTGCTAAATTTATTCAAATTCCCTTAAGGAACCTTGTTTGGGAGCATTACATATATTGCACGGGAGCATAAAACACTAACATCATAATTGGATACATGTGGTGTTGGAAGACAATGCGGCCATTGCCACTGACAGAAAGTAATCACACAAGTTAGCTTGAGTATATGTAGAAAACAGTCACAAGGGGGGTGAAACATTACAATACATGTCACAACCAGTAAGCAAGAGACAAGCAAGGCGCCACAATGGGAATCACAAAGGCGAGAGCAAAGGGCGTTGTGAAAGGCGGTTGAATCAATCTGGGTTACAATATGTGAGGTGAGGTCGTTCCAGCCTAGAATAGTACGGGGGAAAAAGGAAGAGTTAAAATAGGTTGTGCTGCCTGAGATACGGGAAACGTGACACGGGTGATTTAGCTGCTAAGAGGATTACCTGGGGAAAAGAAGGGGAGAGTTGAAGTGCAGGAAGGTAGTAATAAATCTTGTGATAGAGGCAAAGGCTTGCAGAGGACGCTTAGCAAAGGAAGGTTTGGTTCGTTCTTGAGGGCGGACACACTAACTGACCAATGATATTTCTTTAAAATAAACCTAGCAGCATGATTCTGGACTGCCTTGAGATGGTTTTACAAGAAAATTTGGTGAGGGCTCCCAATGATTGCAGCATATTCCAATTCGGGTCTAATGTATATCTCGTATGCCATTTTCCGCACGAGCGGGGCGGCCGATTTTAGGTTTCGTCTTATGTAGCCGTCTAAATGTGCCACATAAGGAAACTTCCTTAATGAAAAGTTTCTAAATGAAAGTTTAAAATTTATGTTAATAAACATGTAAAAAATAATTATATTTTAATATTGTAAAAAAGTTCCATTATTAAAAAAGAAAAAAAAAAGCGGACTGCCATTGGGAAATTTAAGGGTTTTCAAGCACTGCTAGAAATTCCAGGGCTTTTAAAACCTGGAAAATGACGTTTTAAAATTCAAGGGTTCTCAAGGGCCCATACAAAACCTGTCACAACAAGTTTTGCATGGGAACAAGTTACGCATGGTGGTATTGTTTTTCATCTAGTGGATGAGGAAAACTGCACACAATTGAAACTCTTTTAAGTCATTCTATATTTCTAATTTTGTTGCGGCACCGCTGAACCTTGCTTGTCTGGTTGATGGCAATTAACAAGCATGCGAAGCTATGTTACCTACAAGAGCCAACAAGCAAAAGCAGAGGACAGTGGCGAATGGGCCTCCTTTTGGAGCTTCTCGGAATCGCCGCTAGGCGGTGTCGACTTAGCTGGAGTCACCAATACAACGTCAAGCCAACAGCTGCACACCGTTGCCGACAATCTCTCCTGCAACTTTGCTACAGCGTGACCAACAGCAACTAGCGAAAACAACGTTTGTGCAGAGCTCCTATACAAAGCCATCGTTTTGAAAGGAAACACCTGTTCGCACCTTGCAGACAAATTCGAGGACAGTCAGTTTCGAGGCCTCGTGGATGGCTCGCACGCCCCAGCGAAACTGATGCGTCGGCGGCTCGGTGTTCGTTACCGCTGTGTACTCCAGGTACGCCTGCTTCACTAGATCCGTCGTGATCAACTTCCGCAGGTCGCCAAATGCCGGGTCGTCCGCCCTGAGAATAGAGGGAGAGTCACCGCAAGACGTCAAAAACTTCTTTTTTCTGTCGCGCGTCTCACTCTTGGGAATGTCTAGAGCAGGAGTGGTCAAAGTGCGGCTCTTCGTAAACCTAAGTGTGGCTTGAGGCTCTTTGGTAAGTCTGTGTGCTTAGTTTGGGTAACTAAAAAGACTGCCTTTAAGATACAGTGACATCTTGTCAATGTAGACACCTCTGTTCTTTTGAAAAAAAAAAAAAAAAAATTATAATGTAAGTTTTTGTATTTCATGAGATAAAAATTAAAATATTTACCCAGTTTGTCCCCAAAAATGTTGTCTACTCTATGTCGCCTCACGAGACATGACTAGTTTGTTTTTATGGCTCTCTCTCTGTCTGTACATCTGGCCACCTCTGGTCTAGGGCAACGGTGGTCACAAAGCGCCAGACAAAATGCCCGCATACAAAACCAGGCGAGGGTGAGAGCTATTCTTCTGACAGAGGTCAATGAACCCTAGTAAGAAACAAAATTTGTTTGTTACTAGGTTGCTCACAAACACCTTTTTTTGCACAAACTGTGTGTGTAAGGACTGGTCTTAGACCCCACTCCTGCAATAACAATCTAAAGCTTTGGCTGTGTTTAGCCAATCAATAAAATTCATGTACAAGGTGTTTTGTTCATTTTTTTTCTCTTATTACATTCGTTAGCAGTGACTGAAAAAGTTAGTTAAAAAAAGCAAGAATTACACAACTCTGTTTTCATATGTAAAGGGCATTTGGAAGAGGCCAATACAACCATGGATGCGCCGTGTCTGTGACTGCAATGTCTCGCTTTTCACGGTAATATAAGCAATATAGCTACTGTAAAATATCGGGCAAGCGCCCACTCAAAATTTTGAGATAATAATGAAAAAATGGGGGATGGCCGCTTGTCCGGTCATCAATTCTACATATCAATGTACTGTGCATATTTTCTCAGATCTTACAAATTTGGGTATGGGCGCTTAATGTGGTATGGGCGGGTGTACGGTATTCTACGGTAGGCATAGTATGCAGTCGACACTTCATTGGACTATATCACATAACGGCAAAGCTCTTTCCCACCAGTTGATGAAACCAGTTTATGAAAAAAAAAAATGGCCTTAAAACTTAAAAGTGCACTAAGGTGGATTCCAAAACAATGGCACAAACTCAATCTATGTGCCCCAAGCATCCTAGAAAACTCGAAATTACTATCATGCATGAACACTGTTCTTACTGAAAATGCGACCAAACATTGCAGCACACACCCTTCTTCTGAGATACATCAGAAAAGTGGCGTAACGCCATGCTTGATGGCACTTCTAACATAGAGAAAAGAGGTCACATGATCATAAGTTTGAGTTTTCAAGGATGCTTAGAGTATGTAAATTGAGTTTCCACAATAGGAAGATCTCAAAAATCAACTTTAGCACCCCTTTTGGTCCACTCGTTCCTCACTACCATCAAATTACTACACATTACTCCAAATTACACCCGGCATTCCCAGAATTGGTAACGAGGAGCTGAACTTACTCGGACTGCAGACCGAAGAGTGACAACAAGCTCCAGAGCTTCTCTGAAAAGTAAAGTGAAGGCTTTGTTAAATTAATCTTTACTCATTCATTCGCTACTGATATTTACTAAAAGGCACTAGCTCCCAACCACCAAATAATGGCCCCTTTGCAGCGCTGTGTCAGACTGTCTCCCGAGTCCACGGTGTGTTGCAACACGATATCTGCAGGAGGTCTGCCTCCAGAAAATGGTCATTCTTTCCACCGTGCCCCGGCTGTGCATGCTCATGAGACGCCGAATTGTTATTGAAGGTACAAAGCTCACACTCAACCGCTAATCGTAGTTCTTTAATTAATAATCCTTTCAAGGCTCCATTTTTGACACGTGATGGGATGTGTGACCCGGCTTATTGAACATGCGGATCTACCTTGAAGTACTGTACGAATGACCGTTCGTGCTGAGAAATAAACGGCAAAAAAACAGTAGGCTTGCGATAATTCAGAATCTGATATTTCAAACTTCTGGTTAATTAAAAAAAAATTTGAAATTTCGGTTGTCCCGTTACGTTTTTAATGTATTCATAAGCCGCTTAATTAGAACAGCATTTCCTTGTAATTCATACTTTTTGCTTTCGTGACCCCATTGAGCGTGCTTCTTTCCCAGCACCGGTGCTCGGTGAGAAGGGCACTCGACAAAGCTCGAGCGAGCGCACACGAGCTATAAAATGGGCACCACGCGAAAATTTCCATAGCAACTCGCGCGGATGCTATGACGTGGCGGCATGACATAGGTCCATGTCACAGCATACGCACCAAGTTGCCAATAAAACTGCCGCGCGGTGCCCATTTTCATTATCCGTGTGTCCCCCCCTGCCTAAAAGTCCGCAATACACAACTTCTTGGACCGATAAACAAACCTAATTTTGTTTTGAGTTGTCATGTGCTGTCTAAACAGACCATGATAAACAATATTTTGGAAGGATAAATTATAACTTGTCACACATTTCACAAACATTTCATGTGTGGCATACCTGCTTATGATCAGATGGCCTATGCAGAGTTGTTGTTTACGGTTTTAATGGCGCAAGAGCATCAATGGCCACACTGCGCCAAACAAGGTGGGTCAATAAAAAAAGGTGAGTTGAATTAAACTATGGGGGAATAGTTCTATTGTTTGTTTAAAAATCCAATATTTTCAAGAAAATCAAAAAGACGTTTGTATGAAATCAGTGGCCGCTCACCAAGTACCAAGGCAAGGTGAAATGGAATGCGAATCTTGAAAAGATCAGGGAAAAATAATTTGTGCTGCTGCCGAAGACCAGAACAAAGAAATAAAATACGAAGAACAGTCAAAGGTTCACCGGAGCACTCACAGGATAAAGGTTCTCCACCAGTAAGCAGGTAGCTATGTGTAAGGTACATGTGGCCAATTCTCAGGCGGTAAAGGAGGACCTCGCGGAATCTATTTTTATTGTAAGATGTTTCTCAGGAACCAAGGCCTGGCTTGATGGTCCGAAGCTTATTGTTAACCTCTGAATCCCACTCGGACTGCCACAAACGCAAGACTGCAAGTCTTGTAGGGCATTTTTAAGTCTTGGTGGGGGATGTGGACTTGCGACACCGGAAGATTTTGCGAAGAGTCAGCCACTTTATCTGCAGCCTCGTTGCCAGCAATGCCCACATGGCTAGGAACCCGGCAAAACCTGATGTCGTGACCATCCTGTAGGCCCTGCTGCACCTTAACACGCACAGTTAGGGTCAGCTGATTCTTTGTTGATAACACAAAACACACAGCCCTAACAACACTCTGGGAATCTACGAAGATGATGGCTTCTTGTGTTTTACTCTGAATTATATAGTCAAGGGCCATCATGACCCCATATAGCTCGGCAGTAAAAATACTGGCAAGAGTGTTTAGACGAGCGACTTTGGAAAAATAAAAAGAGTATACAGCCGCACCAACAAACATTGACGACTTTGCGCCATCAGTGTAAAAATGATTATAATCTTTGTATTTTTCCTCCAATGCAAAGAATTCCTGCTGTAAACTTAAAGGTGAGACTCTTTGCTTCCAGAATTTTTTGAAACACCTGTCACAAAAAATGGGTTTGACATTCCATGGGGCAGTATGGTATGAACTATTCAAGAGGTTAAAATCATGAGTCAGATTGAGGGAGGTGCAAAGACTCTCGACACAAAGACTCAAAGGCCGCACAACAGTTAGCTTATGGTTAAAGAGGCGAGAAAACCTAGGGTTTTGAATACAACTATAAGTGGGGGAGCTGGAGTCCGACAAAATTTTGCAAGCATAGGTGAGGCTAAGCAGCTGTCGCCTTTTTTCAAGCGACATTTCATGACAGTCAACATGCAAGCTAAGCACAGGGGAGGTACGAAAAGCACCAGATGCCAAACGTAGCCCAAGGTGATGTACTGGATCGAGCATTTTTAAGGCAGACGGTCTCGCAGAGGCGTAAACAATTGAGCCATAATCAAGGCGGAATCGAATGAGAGAAGAATACAGACGAAGGAGACATTTCTTATCCGATCCCCACGACTTGTGCGAAAGAACTTTGAGTATGTTCGATGCCTGCAGAGTTTTTTGCTTGAGCTGGTTTGAGATGCGAAACAAAAGTAAGTTTACGGTCGAAAATAGCTCCTAGAAATTTGTGCTCCATTTGACAGCAATGTTGTTCCCATCTAAAAGAGTAGGATCTAAATAGAGCCCACGCCTTAAAGAAAAAGGAACACAAACAGTTTTCTCCGGAGAGAACCTAAAACCATTCTCATCAGCCCATGTAGTCATTTTATTTACGTCCAGTTGTAGCTGCCGCTCACAGCTAGACATATTACATGACGCTACAGATATCTGAATGTCGACATTAACTGAGGGGGGAATGACATTACTAAGAGAGTTAATTTTTAATAGAAAGAGTGTGACGCTTATGACTCCATTCTGAGGAACGCCACGCTCTTTAACGAACCATACTGATAAAGTTGTTCCCAACCGAACTCGAAGTGCGCTCAGACAAAAAGTTCTTTATGCACTGAAGCATTCTACCATGTATTCCGTACAGAGAAGGGTTGCGCAAGATGCCATACCTCCAAGCGGTATCATAGGCCTTGTCCAGATCAAAGCAAACAGATACACAATGCTGCCTGTTGACGAATGCCTCACGCACAAAGGTCTCCAGCCGCACTAACTGGTCTGTTGTAGAGCGTTCAGGCCGACAGCCACACTGATTGATATCCAAGATATTATGCTGCTCGAGGAAATAAATAAGACACCTGTTAAGTAATCTTTCAAAGGTTTTTTCCAGACAACTTGACAATGCTATTGGTCTGTAACTTGAAAGGAGAGAAGGGTCCTCTCCAGGTTTTAACAGCGGTATAACTTCAGCCCGCTTCCATTCGACAGGGAAGTAGGCATCACTCCACAGGCCATTGAAGTAAGTGAGAAGAGCACTGAGTGACTCTCTAGATAAGTGTCGGATCAGGTCGTAGTGAATTCCATTAGGACCGGGGTCCGAATTCTTGCAGGAGTTCAGAGCCACTTTGAGCTCAACCATTGTAAATGGCTGATTGTAAGGTGCAGACACTCCCTCCTGTGAAGCAGAGCCTTGTCTTTTCCATGCTTGCCCTACGCTTCAGGAATGCTGGAGAGTAATGTGCGGAGCTTGAAACAGCAGCGAAGTGTGTGCCCAACACGTTAGCCTGGTCTAGCAATGAGGCTCCAGAAGAAGGAAAAAGGGGGATTGTAAAACAGCGGTATTTCCCCTCGACCTTGTGAATCGGTCCCACAGTTCCTTTGCTGGAACATAGCTGCTGATGGAGGACAAGTAACCTCTCCAAGACCTTCCTTTAGCCTGCTTCCGAGTCCAGTGGGCACAAGCTCTGCGTCTCTTGAATTAAATCAAGTTCACAGATGTTGGGTATATACGAAAGACACCCCAAGCCTTATCTTGGTTCTTTTTTGTGGTGGAACAATCCTCATTCCACCACGGCTTACATTTGTTGGGGATGTTCGAAAAAGTTTGAGGGATGGACCAAAGAGCAGCACCAATTATATGCTCTGTGATGTAGGCTGTGGCTTCGTCATCAGTTAAAGAAAACATAGACGGAACAAGCTCGGATGTTTGGCTAAAAAGAGCCCAGTCTGCTTTTTCTAGCTTCCAACGCGGAGTCCGTTTCATAAGACTGGGAATAGATGTTACGCTCTCCAGAGTAACTGGAAAAAAGGTTGCTGCCGAAAAGATTCTTTAAAACGCTCAATGTGAAACAAGACACCAAGGATGGAGATGAGATGGAAAGATCAATGGATGTAAATGAGTTGTGAGCTGCGCTAAAAAAGGTAGGTTCTCTGCTGTTCAGAAGACAGAGACTAGATGACAGTAAAAACCGTTCAATGACTCCAACACGCGAGTCCCGGCGTGTGCCACCCCACAAGGGATGGTGGGCATTAAAATCTCCTAAAAATAAAAAGGGGTGAGGGAGTTGAGTAACTAAATCATGAAGATCATGAATATGCAGTGGAACATTTGGTGGAATATAGATGGAAACAATGGTGATAAAGCAGTCTAAGAGGAGACATACAGCTACAGCCTCAAGGGCTGTAGAAAGAGGAATTTGAGAACAAGCAACTCCACTTCGGACGATCTGCTACTCCACCATATGAGTTTGATGTAGAACGATCCTTTCTAAAAACTTGGTGACGACGTAAAACAGACACATGATGATCATCGAGGTGTGTCTCTTGTAAAGAGAGAGCTATAGGACGGAGGTCGTCCATAAAAAAAGTTAACATCGTCAATATTCCGTAAAAGGCCGAGGCAATTCCACTGCATAAAAGTAAATTTAGCCATTATTCTAAAACAAAGTTAAAAGATTAGTAAATCAGTAAAAGTAGTAAGGTACGAGTAAAAGCAAAAACCTCAACACTGCCGTGCAGGGCAAAAAGAATGTACCAGATCACTTAGGAGGGAAGGGATTACAGTTTTTTTTTGTTTTTGTGTTTAGTTTTAGAAGTCTGCCGCTCCATGTTGTCTTGCCCAGACGCATGAGTGGAGACCCCTGTACCCTCATCGATAAGCTCTGCTTCCTGAGGCAAGGCCTTTGCTGCAGGTTTGGGCAGGCTCGGAGAATGGGGTGCCATGCCCCGTCCATGACCAGACCCCGCCAAAGGGGCGGAGGAGGTGCTGGGCGGGGCGTCGCCTAAGTTCACCCGTTCCTGCCCCTTAGGTACTGCAGGAGCGGCACGAGAGCCGTGCCGCTCCTTCGATAATGCTCTCTCCAGGGATTGTGGGCGAGAGTGTCGACCCTTCACCCTGGAAGGAGATTGCGGAGGAGGGACGGTTGCGGCAGCCACCAGCCCATCCTGGGTTTGGGAAACAGTCTGGGAAGACACAGGCTGTTGCCCTGTTGGAGCGCGAGGCTCCGCACTCTGGCTTGGAGGATCCGTAGACTGCCCAGCCGAGATTACATGCCCCGGAAGCTGAATCTTCAGCTAGGGCGTGGGGGACTGCCGTAGCTTCCCGTTATCCAGAAAAGACGATTGGGTCACAACTGCTACCATCAGTGGTGCAGGTCCCCGCTGCACCACCTGCGAATAGCTGCCCTTGCGCAAGAATGCGAAGTGACTGCATGCCTCTGGGTAGCAGAGATTTTCTTTCACTTTGAAAGTAAGTACTTCCTTTTTTTCTTTCCACATTCTGCAGGATCGAGAGTATGCAGGGTAGGGATCACCACAGTTTGCACAGTCTGGGTCGTTGGTGCAGGACTCTGCGGGGTGGTCAAATTTGGTACATTTTGCACATGTAGCTTTTCCATGGGAATGCTGGGAGCCATGGCCAAACCTCTGGCATTTGAAACATCTTCGAGGATTAGGCACATAGGGCCTAACCCTCCAGTGAAGATAGTCAACCCTAACAGCATTGGGGAGCGTGGTGGAATCAAAAGTTAGAAATATGTGTTTTGTTTTTTGCTCTTGACCATCCCGACGCAGGGAGATGCGCCTTGCAGCTACAGCTCCTTGATCAGAGAGCGCTTCAAGTATATCAGTGTCGGAATTCTCGATCAGGTCATCCTCAGAGATAACGCCCTGAATCGTAATGAGTGTATGATGGGGTGAAACGCTCACTTTGTGATCAGACACAGAGTTCAATGCAAGGAGTGCTGTACTCTGCTGTCTGGATTCGACTTCCACAAGGTCATCTGAGGGCATCTTTTTGGCTTTAAAATTCTTACCAACTGCACTTTCTAGCACTTTTGCAACAAGCAAGGGGGACATCTTGGAGAGTAGAGTGTCATTTTCGGAGTGCATAACCAAAAATTTGGAGAACGCAGGAGAAGGTGGGGTCGTGTCTTTTCTAGGAACCTTGGTGCGGACCCTTTTCAGGGCCCAATCAGAGAGAGGTTTAGCTTGAGAGCCCATAAAGATCGGAGAAAGATTCAGTGCCCAGGTGCACCGCCCACCATGGAGCCCAACAAGGGGGCAGGTAATGTGCCATAGCAAGATGGGCTTGGCTGACACAATTACTCTACCAGTGCTGCCCGGGCACTATACCCTAGTGTGGTTGCAGGGACAGGACCTGTTTCCACCCAAGTTTGGCCCTTGCCGCCTAAGAATGTGAAAAAGGAAGGAAGAGAGTGTAGAAGAAAAGAGAAAGAGGTGGAAGGAAAAGTGAAAGAAGGAAGAAGAGGGTAGAAGAGGCGATAGACTGAATCATCTTGGTCGGGCCAAGCCAGGACACCCGTCTACGAGAAGCGGGGTCCAAGCAGTGTATTGCCTCGCCCGGGGGGCCCCGAAGGGTTTAAACATATTCCGGGCTCAGCTCAACCACCAGAATCCCCTTTTCCCTGGACACGGGTTAAGCCACGCACAGCCAGACGTGGGTGGGCGAACCCACATGGCTTGAAGTTCGTAGTGACGCCACTCACCAAGCACCTACCCCTAGGTACCCCTTGCGTGCGGGTATGGTGGCCCACTTGGCTGGGCTCCGTAGTGACGCTACTCACCAAGCACCTAGCACACAAGGTGCACGTGCCCCCTGCAGGGGCCTATGTAGAGGAAATAATCAAATATCTGCCTTGCATGTGTAGTCATTCATCAGGCAAATCATAATTTTACCTCGCATCATATTTAGATGAATTTCTGATAATTCAAACAAGATTCATGGCTTCCTGGCGTTCAAAATAATGAGAGTCCTCCGGGACATAACAGCGAAAGATGACAATGAAACGAGCAATCAACACGTAGATGCCCACTGCAAATTCACACGACATCAGAACCAATACCAAATACTGTAGGCGAAATAAACTCACGGTGCACTGTGCTGTTTCTCGACTTTAAAAATGTCGCCCCGAGTGGTTTTATTGATCGACAGGACTATTGATCCACACGTCTAAGAACCGATCACAGCTGCAGCGTGCGACTTGTGCAGTAGTAGCTAATTACATCGCAAACACGGCTAGTTCACGTGGAAACCGCCTTCCTGAAATTGACGTCTTTGATTCACGCGGATGCACTGCCACCGTCGCCTAGGTGGCCCGAGCTACCACCCGATACGGTGGTGCAAACATACAGGTGCACATACTGATTTGTGTGTCCACCGTCAACTTTCTTTTTTCTACTTTCTAAATTACATATTTCCTAGCCAAGTGCAAATAGTGGATTTTGAGTTCAAAGCAAATTAGAAGCGAACAGTAGTTTTGGTCGAATATTTTTTAATCAAATATCGAATAGTTTCTTGAAGTTCTTCACTACTGTTGCATAATGCCTAAACGAAAACCCAGCTAAACTAGTCAAGGTTGTTCCCAAGCTTCCACTTGTCCATTTAGAAGCTAATTATAATGCAACTATATTTATGAATTACTACCTCAGAAACTTTGATGCCATGGGATGGCAAGTAAACGATGGACTTCATATAAAGTTAAGCCAATGGAGATGGCCAGTTTTACCTAGCGAGTGGATATACAAATCTTGCTATATGCAAATATTATTTCTTTAACCCCAAATTAAAAAAAAAAGAAAAAAGATCACGAATGTGAATGCAGGTTGCCAGGGCATTTCTGCCTAACATGTACGCTTGCTGCCTAATAGCCACAGTTTAATTTAGAAAATTTTACAACAATGTAGACATGAACATTTCCCAAGTTTCCGTTCATTTTTAAATACACTAGGCGCGCGCGTGCACCATCCCGCTTTGAAAGTGTGCTTTCCTCCCAAGCACGCAATTGCAATATCCATACTTCTCCAAGTGTTGATTGCGGTGGGTTACACCGTCAAGTGCGCTTCTTGTCAAGTGCGCTTCTTGTCAAGCACCGGCGTAATGCGGAGAAGCAACACCCGCAGAGCTCACTTTTGCGGGTGTTGCTTTTCTGCGGTGCATTCGTGCTCGGTAAGAAGCGCACTCAGCGGGGTAACCCGCCGCAATACACACTTCGAAAAATATGAATATCGCAGCACATTGGGGGGGGGGGGGGGGGGTACGTATATACAGCCTAGAACTTGGTCTGCCCCAGCGGGCGACGAGTCTCCCAGCCATAGATGAAAGATTTAGCCAGTGCAGCACATTCTTGAAGCGAATGGCAAACATTGTACAATTCGAAACTAAGAGTTAAATATTTGCGCAACACTAGTATTTCCTCACTTAACTCGTTTCTCACCACCACCACACAGCATCAATCACCTGCGATTGTCGATCGACGGGAACGGAGGCCCATTTTAGATCTCCCGCAGAGCTCCAGCGATCGCCACGCCACCTCGTAGGTATTTTGAAGACTGCAGTTTTCGTTTTCTGCATTCCTTTCTCTTTTTGCATGGCAGCAATTTTTAACCAGAGTGTGAAACCGACGGCACGTGGGCATGTCGTCGTTTGTGTTGACCGTGGCCACTTCCCCGTGTTCGGTACGCGGATCCAAGCATGGCAGATCTCGTGAATCCCCCGCGAATTTTCCAGACTCGAATAGCAGCGGTGGTTTTGATGATGAAGCAGAGTGTCGATACTTCGGTTCTAATGACCCGTGCTTCACCATCGTGCTCGTCATCTGTGCGCATTAGCCATCCCCGGCTATACCGATCGCATAGCCTGGTATAGCCACGATTCTGCGCTTCCCTCTGTACGCGATCGATTTAGCCAGCGACGGCAAATGCACGAAGACGACAAGCACAGTGACGGCAAACTTTAGCCACCTCTTGACTGACTCCGTCGGATCTCAACATTGGCTGAGGCCGGGCTTAATGCGGAACAAGGTACAGGTAACTCACCTTCGGTGACTGTCCCGTTATTCATAAGAATCAGGGCCAGCAGCAACGTGATGAGACCAAGCCTGGCGTTGTCGGCGTCATTTCTGATTGGTTTTGAGCGTAAAATTGCAAAATTTGTAATTAGAAGGAACTTGAAATTCCCAAATAAATTCTCGAGGCGTCGTGCTACGCAGCAAAATAAATCTGAGCGAAAAGGAAACGCACCGGTTTAGAAAATCCCTAGCCTCAGACAGATTCAGCTGGCTCACGAGTATGTAGGACCCCAGCCGGTCGTTCAGGTCAATCAGCTGATATCCAAACACCTGCAAAAAAACAAAAAAAAACAACAACACAATTACTTCTCAGAAAGTCAAATTTGGGGGTTTTACATGACAAACCAACGGCGGGCATCTGGCATGCCCCAGCGGAGGACCGAGGGTTAATTTCGACCACCTGGGGATCTTTTGACGTGCAACCGAAAGCTCGGTTACCACGGCGTCTTCTCTGCAATAAGCCTCCGTCAGATTGCGGGCACCTCGGCCGGGATTCGAACCCGCCACGTGGGGATCCGTAGGCCGACGCTCTCGCCTCGGAGCCACCGAGGTGGCTAACACAATTACTTGTAACAAAAATGTAAAAAAAAGAAAGAAATCATTTTCTTGCATTATCGTGGAAAAGGTTGCAGGTGCCGCAGAGTTAATGAGGTGCCGCCTCGCGGCACCTCATTAACTCTGCGCATGAAAGGGGTCCTGACGTGGCACCAAATTATGTTGCAGGAGTTGGTGTGTCATGTCATCAAACATTGCGACCCTAACAAGGCTTTTGTCGCAGCGTCCCAAGTTGTGGCTGGAAGAGTTTCCGTCGAGCTTCAAGCGAGACGTGGTTGAACAGTCGTCTGCCATACCTACCTCTGCTGCCGTGCCAGTGCCAGGATTGAGGCAGGCAACAAAGGGACACTTTGACGACGTCATCGGGTAGAAATTGAGAGACCACCTTTGAGGTGGCGGTCTTAGAGTAACCTTGTATATATGCAAACGTGCGTCCGATATTAGAATACGCCTGCACCGCCAGGGACCTTCATACAAAGTCAAGTGTAGATGAGCCTGAATTCATACAGAAACGAGCAGCGTGGTTTGTGTCAGGAAACTGTGATTTCTCTTAAAGCTCTCCCGCTATTTGTGCTAAGGGTGGTCCTTACTTGCAGACGGGCAGAAGTACCTTAGACCGGCCTTGTTTTAAAACATGCTTAACGGCAGAAACGGCATCGTTAAAATACAATTCATGAAAGAACCAATTCAGATCATAATCTTAAAGTTTGTGAATATGTGCCCAGAATAAACATATTGAAGTCGACTTTTTATTTTCCCCCAACAGTGTATGAGCGGAATAACCTCCTAGATGAATTTGTATCCTCTCCTCCTCCTTTGGTTTTTGCAGCACTGCAAGTTACTGCATTGCTAGATGGACCTCTGCTAATATTTTAGTACTTATATTTTGTTTGTTTTCTTACATTGCAAAGTTCCTGTGATGTTGTCATTTTCATTTCAATTTTAGTGTCATCGTATATCCTACCTCATCATGGAATTTTTTTACCTGTCATATGTGCCTTGTATTTTGATATTGAAATTTTGGTATTGCCTGCCCCCCTACAAAACCGCCTTGGTAAGGGCGACGTCGGTACAGCAGTAAATTTATTTTTCGGACGCCAAAAATTTGGATGTGCCTGATTATTAGGGCACTGACGCAGGACCGTCAGTGATCTGGGAGTTGTCGTTCAGACTTATGTTTTCTGACTGCTCAATTATTTTGACTACTTTTTGACCTCCGACCAAGTCCCGAAAATTGGTTGGCTGCTGTAATTGTATAAATGAATAAAATAAACACAGCAGTCGAAGACGCACTCCAGACACCACCACGAGACTGATGTGAAGTGTCCTGAGCTTTCCTTTTATCGTAATCTCAATATACCAGAAGATTTTAAAATGAAGTCACGTTAATCAACAGTTCACTGCAAAGTATTCTTGAAATTTTTCTAGTTTATCAGATGACACGAAACCTTCAATTGTAAAGTCGCTCTAACAATTTGTGTGTCTTTCAGGACATCCGAGCCTGGCGCATGTTTTGAAACCTCGCGAGAGTCACAAACAAATTTCAATATTTATTTCGTACACGTTTCTTGAAATCCCACGGAAGTTGTGAAGGGCTTTAAAAAATATGGTAGCTGGAACGTGTGAAGTCACACAAAAGCTCTGGCACACGTAAGGCTCTGCTGAACTTCTTAACAATCTACGAAACTGTGACTTTGGACGGATGATGTCGTGTGAAGGTCTTGCATGTGAACCAGAACACGTGAATGAGGTACAGTCGAGACCAGTTTGAACAAAGTCGGTTATAACAAAATAGCGGCTACAGCGAAGGGATCACGATTTCCCCTTCCCTTTTGCACTTCGTTAACCAAAGTCGGTTATAACGAAAAAGCGGACATAGCGAAGTGATTTCCGATTCCCGTTGACTTCATTATAACTGGTCTCGACAGTACTGTGAAACTTCTGAACAGTATATAAAATTCTAAAACTTTGCAAAAATAATATAGGGCCTCTCTTTTTTGGGGTAATACCCATTCCCAATATTTATGCCCTGAACAAGTTTCATAAAAAATGGGTAAAACCCAATTTTTCCCCGAATCAGGGAATTCAATTTCACTATTTCGCTAATTACTCTGCTCTGAAACTAATTTCTAGGAAACAAAGAGTTGGTAGGAGCACATGCGCTAGCTCCATGCCTCGTAAACAAACCTAGATTCTGCTGGCTTTAGTGAACAGCAGTGAAATAGATCAAGCCCCAAAATTTCGCTTCTAAGTCTATTGCAACACATACTTTGCCCTTCTCTTTTTGTTTCAACCAATGCAAAAGAACAGAAGGAAGGGGGGTGAAAGACTACTTTCAAAACTTTGTTTTGAATGGAACAGCAGATATTTTGTTTTTGTCAAGCTGAAGTGACAGAGCTGTGCATTGCAAATGTAAGTAAGCTGTGATGCTGACAGAATGTTCCATCAATCCACATATGTCCAAAGACCACACAGGTATATGAAGAACAGAGAGATGCTGCACTAGGAAAAGGTTATGTGAGCAATAGCTGAACTTATGCAAAATGTAAAAATTTATTTGAGCTCTTATACCATCCTTCAATTTTTTCTTGTGCACCTTATTAAAAGATTCTATGTATTAAAACCAACCAATGCTCCTTATTGTTAATTATACTTGTACATTTTTAAATATAAATTGAAAACCATAAATCTCGGAATAATTTATTGAACAATTCTATTTCTCCCCAATTACCAGCCAAGATCAAAGCGCCCGATGTTCGCCCCCGATTTGTAAAAAATATAAAACCCGGAAATAAAGAATTCTATGTATATGATGTCGTGTGAAAGTTGTGCAGGCATGATGCCTATTTTTGGACAGGTCATTAAATCCAAGAAAATCTTCCACATGGCTTTTTAAAAATGTAATGCTTACTTACCTCGCTCAGCTTATGCTTTGCTTCTTTGAGCACTTCCTTTATAGACTTGGAGTGGTCTTTGAGTACAAACTTCTGTATATCTGTCAGACAAAAAAACAAAACAAAACAAAAAACAATTCATTATGCAATTTTTTAAAATTTACACTTTACAGCAAATGGTTAATTAAAACGTGTCTAAAGGTACGTTGGAAGTAGGCACGGTTTGCCAATGCACATGTCGGCAAATTGATGACTTGGTCTGAAGTCGTGGAGGGTGTCGCAATGATGATTTCAATGGTGTCTGGGGCGAAACCTGTACACTCTCAATGTACGTGGGCTTCAGTCGATCAACAGACACCATGTCGTGTCCGTTTCCTAGGTCTAAAAGGAAAGCCTTGGGGCCCGTTGAATGACGGGAAACGGTCCGTCATAAGGGGCCTGCAGAGGTGTCCGCATTGCGTCTCTGTGAACAAAAACGTGTGTACACGAGTCTTTGCTCATGAAAACTTTTCTGTTAAGCGGCTGTCGTGTAGGTGGCGGACACAAAGCTTTCATCGTCGTCTTGAGTCTTGATACATAGTTCTGCATATCTGGCACCGCATCTTCCTCGAGAGTATGAAAAAACTCGCCTGGCAGCCTTAGGGTCGTACCATAAACAAGTTCAGCCGGTGTGGAGGAGAGGTATGCCTTGTAGACCGTACGAAGACCCACTAGAACGAGTGGGAGTGCTTCTGACCAGTTTGTTGGATTTTTGCAGGCCTTCAGCGATGTCTTCAGTTGCCGATGAAACCGTTCCATTAGACTGTTTGAGGCTGGGTGATAAAACGTGGTGCGGATTCGCGTTGCTCCTAAAATCCGTAGGGGTTGTGCAAAAAGGCGGGACTCAAACTGTCGGCCTCTGTCAGTTGTGATTTTGTCTGGTACGCCGAAGCGTGAGACCCATGTTGTCATGAAGGCTTGGGCGACCTCTTCACCTGTGAGCAATTGTTGCAGGCGTCGCTGTTCTGACGCGGTGGTTTTCCGGATCAACTCTCGCTTGAGGTGTTCATAGGGCTCTTGGTCTGGTGGAGAAATGACGATATCTCTCACTTCCACTGCCTCTGCAGATGACAAGGACGTGACGACCTCACGAAATTTTGTCATTTGTGCGGTAATGTTTCTACGGGCAAATTCCTGCTCTATTTGCGCGAACCACAATTCCGGGTCCGCAGGCCAGAATGTGGGTAGTCGGCGGCTGACAGTGCCGAGTTGGTGGACCAATTGTTCGGTGGTCGGCTGTTCATCTCCGGCGTTAGCGTCAGCTATGTCGGGCTACTGTGGGAAGAACTGTGAGGGGAAAAACGACGATGACTTGCCGTTGTGTAGTCCTGTCAGGTGTGGATTTCAGTTTGCTGAGGTCACGATCATGTCCGGGTTACCATATGAAGGGTGTTCATCTGCCCTTCATATATTTACTTATATGTACATTCCATCTCGGTCGGCAGTTCGCGATGGTGTCCTCGGTCTCGAGCTCTCTATCTCAAGCCCCTGGTTCTTCTTCTCCTTCTTGCTGGCCCTACAGGTACACTGAATGCAGCCAGTCAATTTTCTTAAAGGGTAGTATGATTTTCGTTTCCCGACGTTTATAACTCATGAAACCCATGTTCGTTTTCCTCCTAAAACACAGATAATTGGAAAAAAAAAAAAAAAAAAAATGAAGGAATAACCAGCAGCATTCACTTCCTCAACTCAAAGTCAGAACAAACGGCCATGTGATCTGGAGCCGATTATATGCCGCCAATGTTGAACATAGCCACGCGCTCGGGTTGGCAAAGCACAGGACACACGCTGAGTTTGAGACGTCGTTAAGGTTTGGCTATTCTCGTCATTAAAGCGATTGGGCACAAGCCACTATCCGAATGCTTGTCGGGCTATTGATTATCGTGAGCCCAAATCAGTGCTCACGCAATGCTGGGGTCCAATCTCCGAGCCGCACTCAAACATCATCACTCGGGGACACTGCAACCTCAAAATTACGTCATCAAGTTTTGAGAAGGATAATGAAAAGAAAACGCTCCATTTTATTCTTGAAATTACATCGCAACAAAGAGGTTTATTGGTCAATGGCATGGTGTGCGAGTATACACCTCTTCCACAAGGGCGCAGCCACCTTGAATGTCGTCACTTCTGGTATGCGATAAAAGATGGAAGGTGTTTTTTAAGAAAAATGTGTGATTGTCACACATTCTTGTTTTGTCTCACCTATATTTTCTTGCATATTCCACGTTGAAATGTTTTATTTTTTTTCATCCCGCATACCAGATACACAACCCACGTGACTGAAAATGACAGGAAACAAAAAACGTCTATACTCGAGTCCCACTAGTACCCGTAAGCTCGTGTAAGGTGAAAAACATCCCAACTGAATATCTTTGCAACACCCTTTCAAGGGTATGCGGACATACTTGACCGATTTTTTAGAAGGTACGTCGGACAGGTACAACTTTTAGCCGCGCTAGCCATTTGCATCCATCCATCAGCTACGTTTGCAAGTAGATTTAGAATACCATAAATATGGTAAAGGCACGGCAAAAACAGCAGTGCAGCACAGAAAATCGTAGGCTCTGGTATCACAATGTGGAGCGCAAGTTTGTTTGCTTTTTTTTTTTTTTTGCAGGGGTTGTGGTGATGTTAGAACGCCGAGCTCTGATTGAAGGATAGAGGATAGGCGTCAAAGCAGCTTTATTTGAGGTCTACCCACTATCCTTCAACCAGAGCCAAACAGAACTCGACATTCTGACATCGCCACAACCCTGCAAAAGAAGCAGACGAACTTGCGCTACTCATACGTTCCTTTAATCCGACGTCGGGCGCCTCCGTGTTCTTGTAAAATAGAGTGATCTGGGGAGGCCACAGGAGCCCTGGGATCCGATGTCTGCCTTTATGCCCCGCCGTTTTGTGGCGGCAGAAACGCATGCGAATATGGCAGATATTTTCCTCTTCACTTAATATACTGAGCTCTATGCCGCACACTTCCAGCATCCAGTATCGTCCGGGTACGTCCGACGTACCTTTAGACTCAGCGTAATTAAAAATGCCTTACCTTTCCTTTTGATTGGCGTCTTGTGCTGGTCAGCAACCAGAATGTAATAAACAGTATTGTTCACCTAAACATAAAAAAAAAAAGTCAAATAACGAAACAAAACCTGCGTGCACGTTTACATAGAAGGGTACAGCAGGCTATTTAGTATTTACCAGGTTCGTGAATTCGTCGTTACCCGTTCCCACGGCACTTGATCTTTGGGAAGTAGTGGCCACATTCGACGACGAAGCACTCTAGAACAGTCACGGGCAAACAGAGAACTGTTTTCTGACTTCTTTTACAACGGCGAGCGGTTGTTTTGTTTCGTGGGTAATAGACAGACTTACGGGCCTTGCAGTACTGCGAGACGCAGCTTGTGACACTTGCGACTGCTTGATCCGTCTCATGGTTATAGTCCGGTGGGAGGAGCAAAGGTACTGATAAAGAGTTTCAAAAGTACTGAAATTTTGATAACTCCGAAGACCGGACGACCACACTAAAACCCCGCGAAACCCGCGATCGAGAAATCATTGGATTGGCTCGGATAAGCTTAAAAACATGAATGTTTAATGTTGAGCAAAACCAACAATCAACATATGTTTGATTTATTGTTTCATCAACGAAGGATATAGTTCTCATTATATAAATACTATGATTTTAACCCATTATATTAGTTCAGTTAAATTGTATGTAACGTTCAACCAGCTTGAGGCCCTTGGGCAGCTGCAGCCTGCAAGGCTGGCAAGGCTGGCAAGGCTGCAACGTTATCGCCTGCAGCTGCAGTTTCAATGGCGGCTGCAGTAGCAAGTGGGTCGTCGAGTTCTTCGGTACATTTCGTTTAAAATCCTCCGATATCTACTTGTTTGGTGACCTATTGTATATTTTGATAGTGACCGAGACTCTTACCAGAAACGTTTATTGAAAAAAAAAGTGGTGAAACTGGAGTGAATATATAGATTCACGTCCGCTCCAGCACTGTTGACACTTGTCGGCATTTGACAAAACAATCTAGTATCTGTGTCTAAATTTTTCTTATGGTGGCGAGGTGGAGAGTGGGGATTATTTTAAGAACATCTTTACACAGATCGTGGAAGTGAGTGCCATATTTATTCAGTTTCTTCCACTTTCAGGGTAATAACCAGGGACAAGAGTTCATTGTGCGAATTCCCAAGTACGGCCTTTTTTTTCGTTGCTTGGAAAAAAATAATCATTTTCGAATTTAACGTTCTGAGTTTCAGTTGCCTTATGAACTGTTTTCTTCTCTTCAGACAGACGAAAAAGCGTCACCATGTCATGCGTTTCAACGCAGCGCACAAACAAGACATTTCGAAGTGGACACAGGTGAGCTTCCAGGATTGCGAAATACCGGCATTTTGAGCTGGGTCCTTATCGGTTTGATACTGACTAACGATTATAGTATTATTATTTGAGACATCAATTTACACGTCACAACACTGAAATATCAACCGTGACCAGCTTGCCGGTCAAGGTTAATATTCCTCTTCAACAATGTGGGAACCATAGCCTAGTATGCCTATGCGGGTCGGTCCGAACCTTTTCGACAAGTGGGCGAATGTAATTTTCTGCTTTTTACTGGATGAAATATTTAAAAATATCGCTCATTATGCAAGCTCCCAATCAGTTCCCAGTTATTGTCTTGCAAGAACAGCAATTGTGATGTAGAATGCATCTTGTGGAAGCTTGCCGTCATTGCGAGCTTGTCAGAACGCTCTCCTCTCTAGTGTCCAGTGAATACCACCTTTTCGTCAACTCGTGTTTTCAAACACGAGTTGATGCGCACATCCAAAGCCCGGCAAAAGGTGCCGAGCGCTTGCTGGAGGCCGAATGGTCTGGATGCCTTTCCGTTCTTACCTTGCCAGTGACTTTCGAAAAACAAATCCCCATACACTCCACGCCCATAGGTAGTCTACACCGCACGAAATTCCCAACTTTTAGACACGCATACTCTGTAGACCACATTCCTGAAGGTACGGCAACCGTACGGCGGCCCCCTCCCCACAGATCCGCATTGAGCGGGAGAACAACTTGAAGGAGATGAAGATGGAGGACGACATGCCCAAGTTTGGGGCCGGCAGCGAATTCGGCCGGGACCAGAAGGAGGAGGCGAGGAGGAAGAAGTATGGCATCATCATGAAGAAGTACAACCCAGACGACCAGCCCTGGCTGCTCCGAGTGGGCGGGAAAGGCGGCAAGAAGTAAGTGTGCTCGGATGCTGTAGATTTGACATTTGTTTCAGTTCAGCTGTTGTTTGCGTCTCGCAGTCTTGCAAGATGTGCAACATTTTGTTGTAGTGAACGGTCTTAGACGAATCCTTGCGTAGTCCGTGGGTTTCAGTCCGGAAGATGTGGTACAGCGTTGGTACTTGGTCTCTCACAACTTCATGCATGTACGACACATAATTTAGCATGCACAGTGTGGAAGAAAATGCTTGCATTGTGGGTGCTTTAACGAAAAGAAAAAAAATTATAGTTGACAAGTAATTCAACAACTCGAATGCATCGTGTCAAAACGGATGCGTTTAACCTTTTGGCTGCTTTGATTTTCTGGTATTCTGTCACTTTTTTTCTTTGTTTGTCCTCCTGAGACCATTGATGTCAGCACTTATGACTTGCTGCACTCCATTCTTGTCTTGATCCCCCTTTCCTGTGAACTAGCGAAATAGTCGGCTATCCAAAGCATCTGGGACAACATTAGCCATCCTTGCAGGACCTGTCAGCTTTCGGCAAACTGGCTCAAAAGGAGTACCGCTAAGCGCTGCTAGCAGCGGAAGCTGCTATTATGAATGGCCCACCCTCCAGAAATTCATTCCAGTTACTTTTGGGTGAAAGAGAAGTGCTTCATATAGGGGGTGCTCAATAAGTTTTGCCTCCTGAGCTGTAACCTTTTCACTCAATGAAAAAAAATTAGTAAGAGATGCCATATTGAAATAAAAGTTTGGAATCTTTTTTTTTTTTCTAAGCAGCACATCACTTAATGATATAATCTTGACCGGCGGCGATGAATTGTATAATCCCCACCGGCAACAGAACTGCATCGCCGCTGGTGGGGGTTGTATTGAAAGGTGATGTATTCCTGGGAAAGAAGAGATTCTAAACTTCTATTTGAACTTAACATCCCTCAATTCCATCGCAGTACAAAAAAGTTGCAGCCTAGGGGGCAAAACTAATTGAGCCCTCCTCGTACATTCAGAAGCCCCTTGGCTGCGTGTCACAGTGCACATCATTTCGATAGCGGGTGTTGCTCGTTAGCAACTTGGTCAAGTGCTATCGCTCCTTCATTGCACTTGAGGGAATGTCCGGGCCAGGCAATCTTCTTCGATCTTCCCGGTGAATATCTGCCAACGGATCTCACAACAACCGGGTCTCTTGCGTTCAGGTTCAAGGCGATTCGGGACGGCGGTGTGTCGGAGAACACGTCCTTCTACGTGTTCTGCAAGGCGCCCGACGGCGTTTTCGAGGCCTTCCCCATCGACGAGTGGTACAACTTCAACCCGGTCAACCGTTTCAAGGCTCTCACAGCCGAGGAGGCAGAGGTTGAGTTCGAGAGGTGACGACGTCGCTGCTTTATTTACTTTTGTTTTGCTTCCTTATAATCGGGGTACCTACAGAGGAGGAAAGCCTGGAATTTCTGATGAATCGAGTTAGCCGCGACCATTTGGAAAATTGTGGCGCAAGTCGCAGAAATTGGAAAAGAATGGCATCTGTCGGAAAAATTTAGGGAAAACGTGGTGATCATTATTTTTAAATGAGGAAAAATGACAATGTTTTTTTTCTAATTGGGGAATTATGGTGTAAATTGGAAATTTTATGGGCAAGTGCGCGGTGGTAATTAGTAAATATTGCTCTATTTGGTTAATTTTTGGAGGGAAATGTAGAAATAGTGTGCAAATGCAGTGTAAATTATGGAAATGTGATGATAGTTGGGAAATATGGTGTGAATTGGGGAAATTTTGGGGAAAACGTGGTGATGATATTTACAGCTTGTTTATAGGGCCTGTGAACAGGCCTTCTGTTTGGCTCATAGTTATGCAGCAATGTGTGGTTCAGATCCACTAAAGTGGGGCTTACACTGAAAAAATGCACACTTGGGGGTGGGGATGGTCAAGAGAATTTGAGAGCTTGGGGACCCCATGACGCTACTTTGGGGAATCCCATGGTTCCTAGGAAACCATTGTCCACGAGCCAGAACCATTGTTCACCATGGCATCGTAAGCAGAACTTAGTTTGGCGACGCGACTTTCCAACGCATTGCCCGTTGCTCACGATGGCTCTTGCTCGTAGGCGCGACAAGGTGATGAACCACTTCTCAATCATGGTGCGGAAGAAGATGGGCAACGAGGACACTGAGGGCATCAAGGAGGAGGGTGAGGAGGAGAAAGGAAAGGGCAAGAAAGGGAAGAAGGACAAGAACAAAGAGTTTGTAAGTCGATGTCTTACTCCGTCGTCAGCGGCGTAATCCAAGCAGTAGGTACAAAACGGGCCGCGAATCGGTAGTTCATTGCTTATCGATTTTTCAAGGGCTCGTTACTGAATACCGGGAGTCGTGGTTCTGAGCTGGTGATCCGAGGTTTGCATTCGGCGCATACCGTATTTTCTGGACAGTATTACACGCACGGTGTGTAGTCCGAGTGTAAAATAATTTTTCTACGGAGCTCAACTTGAAAATTGCCTGCTTCATTAGTGCACAAAGAAGCTTGTATCGAACAGAAATCGTTAACATAGGCTGTCATTTACCAAATTCGTCGCATCTCAAAGTAACGAGCAATCTCGAACAAATTCTTGTATAGTCTGCACCCGTAAGTAGTTTGCGTCGCGTAACATTTAGAGTCCGGGAAATATGTTATTTTGTGGGAGATGCAATGCATTGCGATCTACGAAGACATTCACAAAGGGTTTCACATCAGTCCTCTTTATGAAGGGACAATGTTGTGGGGAGTGGAAATGGCTGTCACGAAACCTTGAGTTTCGTGCGTAAGTCGGATAACTGACTGAACGGTGCCGACAGTCTGCCGCAATACTTGCCCCATTGGCGGTCTCGATTGCCGGTTTCAATCTGTGTAACTAGTCGTTTACAGTTGCTGTAGTTTGTTTCACCGTGGCGTGGCAAAGAGCAATTGTCACGGCCCCTTCGAGTCGATCGGAGCAACGGAGGCGAAGCGCGTGACAGCCCTGACCAAAGGTGCAGGGGCGAGGGCGTAGCCCGGGCGGTCGGAGAAGACTGGAAGCAGAAACTTCTCTTCCGTCTTTTATGTGTGTCCCAGACATTGCTCTTGTCCCTCTTTGAGACTAGCCTGTCGCCCAAAATTCGTGCAAAAGCGGCTTTCCTTTCTCCCGCCCATGGCTTTGACAGCACTGTGCACTACTGCTACTGAGAAAGAATGCAATCGCGCGTCCCCTTGTGACGCACTGATTGGCTCACTGGGATCGTAGCCTTCACCGTTTTCCAAATTACGACAAGACAGAGCACGGACGTCGTTTGGTGCTTCCGATTCGCTTGTGTGGCCAATGCGAACCCGATCTCCACAATAGCCATTTTTTGTTGACCTGCTTGGGCTGCTGGATGTACAAGGGACAGAAGCATCTCGAGGTCCGAGTTTGCAAGTGCCTACTACACTCTTGAAGGGAGCAAAGCCTCGTCTCTAAAGTGTTTGTGCCACTTCTCGTATTCAACTTAGATTAAATTCTCGCATCTGTTGCAATTTTGTTTGTTACGAGGAAATATTAGCTTATTTCTTCCCACTCTATTTTAGTTTTCACGAAAACTTTGAATTTACGGCAAACTTTCCTGCCCACCTTTTATGCCATACCCCATCAAATGTTGGCAAAAATAATTCTGCTTCGTGCGCAGCAGGTACACTGACATCACAATGCCCAGCTCCGATTGGAAGGCTAGCGGGTAGACTGAAAGGCTAGCAGGTAGACTGAAAGGCTAGCTGTCTTTGGCTTCACTTACTGCATCGTTTTAACCAGAGTGAGCAAGACCGTCGTCTGCTCGTCATCCGCTAGTCCTAGCAACGGCTGTCTCACCTTTACTGTGTCTTTTGGAAACCCGGCGGTTCTTTACGAAAGAGGACTTAGCCTTTGAGAAAGGGGAGGGGAAGTACGTCAAATGGTGTCGTTTTTTCTCAACGAATGAGTAGCAGACGCACTCTTACGTAAATGGAAATCACGGCCTGGATGTCGTCTGCTTCCCGCCGCCGCCAAAGAGCAAAGAGCAGCGACGGGGGTGAAGCTTCGTCACACACGTGATTGCTTTCTCTCTCCCACGCGTGAAGAGGTGTGATCTGGCGCTCTCGCTGTCCGTGCAGTGAGTAATCTTTCGTGTTGCGTTTTCTTTTCTCAGAAAATCTCAGAGATGGACGACTGGCTGAGTGACTCGGACGGGGACGGCGACGATGACGAGGAGGACAAGGACGACGACGACTCGAGCGCGAAGAAAAAGAGAAAGGCAAACGAAAAGGAGGACAAGAAAAAGAAGAAAAAGAAGGGGAACCAGTCGGAAGACGAGGCGATGGAGGAGAGCGACGAGGGGGACTTCGACGACCGGGAGGTGGACTACATGTCGGCGTCAAGGTGAGTTTGCAAATGGCGTGGCAGCGCCACAAACAAGATGCTACAGGGTGTTTGCGAGCGCCATTCAGTTGTAAAAAACAAAGCCGTATATGCAGATAGTTTGGTCATTAATTGGCGAGAATAGGGCAAAAGTAAGGGTGCATCATTGGCTAAAATATTTTCAATGACCTTGGGCACATTGGTCGGCAGCACTTGTGACCAACCACTGGCCACAAATATTTCCTTAGTGAAAACAATGGACTTAACTTATATCCTCCAATTTAAATTTGTAGCTTAGGATGTATTCAAGTATTTCATTTCAGCACAGAAGAGTTGTGCGATTCTTACTTACTGAAAGGGCAATGCACATGAGGTTGTCATCACGGTGACATTCAGAATGCGCTCAGTCTTTCTTTTAATTGCAGTTACAGCCGCAGCCACGACAAAGTAAACGGTAAAAAAACATGGACTCGGCTCCATGGAAATATTTACCCTAACCCCCAATGCACACCCCACGTTCACAGTTTCGCCTCATGTTTCAAGAGACTTCTGTGGCTCAGTAAATGCACTCAACACCTTGAAACTTCCTATTCCCATTAATCTCTTACAAGTATCCGTTCATGTACTTTGAGCCCCATCCAGAAACAAAAAATACATGCGCCGTGGTACGCTTCTCCTTTAAAGGAGCTGTGCAACAGTTTCACTGCTTTGCTTAAATAATTTTGGAGTTGGTGCCTCGACCTTTCGGAAGTAAAGAACAAAAAAACGCTTTTGTCTGCATGCCCTAGTTTTTACTTTAAAAATAGACAAAGATTGAGGTTTTCGGCACCTCTCAACTCCTTCACCATCTTCCAAGTCACGTGCGCTGTGACGTCAATAGGGTTTGTGCGGGGTTCCGGTGAGGCTCTCTTTCTAGAGCCATCAGTGAGCAGCGAGAACTCATCCGCTCGCGATCGAGGAAGTCACATCCGGGTTCGGCCATCCCCATCCGGCTCTGTCCCCCTCCGGCTTCTGGTGGCTGTTCGCGGTGGCAGAGAGAGCTGACGGTTTTGTGGACCTAGGATAGATGGTGCCACTAAAACTCAGTATAATAAAAGTTTTGTCGATGATTACCAGGTTTTTGACGCATTTATGTTTATGTTGGAACAACAAGATTTATAGAAAAGTTACCTTTTATCGAGCAGGTATTCGCACAACTTGCTATCTTTCTACAAGACCCCCATTGACGTCACGCCACGTGTTTCTCATGGCCGCCGCTTGCAGCTGCAGGTAGGGGAATATTGTAAGTTTTGCCCCGCGATTACGCGGTAGAATCGCAACATTTCGAAGGCAGGAGGCGTGTTTTCTGTCCTTTGTGACAAGGTGAAGAATGTCAAAAGTAGAAGATGCCAATTCTTTCAACGTTAAAATCATTGCTCAGCTCCTTTAAGGTCATCTCAGATATTTTAACTTCGCATTATCATCACGGGGAGAATGTGCAATACTGGTGCAGCGCCGCTTTCGCCGCTCCACCCTGGCTCCCGCTGGCTCCTTCCATTGACCAGACTCTCTCTATATATGGCTCTAGTAAAAAAAAAGCTTTGTAAGTAAGCTAATGAACGAAATTCATTCACAAGGGTATCTTTAGGCAATGCTTTTATTGTACTAAAACATAGTGAGTTTAGGTTTCCGGAAAGAACGTGCAAGAAAAGAAGCACGTTTTGAGGCTGGTCCGCACACTTGCGTTTGCCTATGACTGAGTTCTTGTGATCTGTTACGCGACAGAATGCACTGGCACACTGGCGCCATCTGTGAGGTGGTCCTGGAACATCATTTTACTAGAGCGAAGGTTTTTGCAGTATTTGCAAGATGAAATGTACATAGTGTCCATGGGAAATGGTCATTTATAACATTGTCAAAATGTTTCTAAGCCTAAAATATAAGGTAGTTGCATGTGTTCTACGGCTATCCGACAGAAGTGCTAGTTCTCGTTGTAAGAGACCACGAAAGGTTTTGAAGCCATCAGTCATAAGTGGTTGCAAGTGAGCAAGCCAGCCTTTGTTCCCATGGTAAGAAAAAAAGACGGAAACAGACCACGGGGTTGATGCTGCTACCCACGGATGACACCATGTGAAAACAAAAATTCAAAAGCTTTTTTGTGATGAATACCTGAAGGCAGGTCCAGCGAATTCTAGCGTGTGTGTTACCGCTATTCAGTTGTATTACAATATGTATAAGTTATCCAGTGAATGGTAGTGTGGGTTCATGATAATGCGACAATTTATGAGATTCAATTTAATGAATGCGTGACCTTGGCTTTCTTGCGTCGTCGCGCTTGGATACGTTCGGTTATATAACTCGTGGAAAGAACCACATCCATCGCCGGAGCGACAACTGAGCTGGGCCTGCTCGTCTCTGGCTTTGCGTCATAATATGTGCAACGCTCGTATTGGTTCGAAGCGTTGACATCAACATGTGTCACCCTCTCCCTCTGTCCCCGACACGATACCTCCTCACAACGTCATGTATGGCACTGACACCGGAGAGTTTTCGTGAAAGCGAGTGTTCTAATGTTAATGCATTAAAGGAATACTGAACTGAAATTTCGAGCTCACAAAACAAAGCTGGATCGATAGGTGGGACGCTGCAAAACCCCAAAACATCACTCATACAGCGATATCTCTAACGGATCGCCATATTTTTGAAAAAGAAGTGCGCAATTGAACACGGCCGACGCGACAAGTCACGTCACGATTCCCATTCCCTCTCCTCCTCGCTATGTCCCGTCAAGCTGGTGAACCGAAGCAAGGAGGAGAGAAGCGAGGCCGCTTCTCCTCATTCTCTAATTCTCCCGGAGGACAATGACGTCAAAGACCTCGCTTGATCGCGCCCTTCTTTTCCAAAAGTACGGCCATCCGTTTGAGATATTGATGTATGAGAAACGTTTTGGAGTTTGTAGCGTCCCCTTCAACGCTTCTGCGGCCTTATTTGCGAAATCTGAATTTCAGTTCAGTATCCCTTTAAAAGAAAAGCGTGTCTTATGGAAAAGAAGAAAAACTGAAGCAAACTGTCTGGTTTGTATAAAAAAAAAAAAAAAAAAAAAAAAAACTAGGAAAAAAAGACAATAAAATAAATCTGCAGAAATGTGATAATTTTCTTCATACCCTTCATTATTCCGAAATATTAAGACCCCTAGGTGTAAAGTATATAGGCTACGTTTCCAACCGTCCCCACCTTTCCACGGGTCCGTGGGGCTTCACGAAAGAGCAGACGCATCCGGCGACTTTCTGTGCTTGGGTTTCTTCTAACCCACGTCCATCCATTGGGTTCTTCAGGCGTCCTGATTGGTTGACTCCAAATGCCAGCAGTGCACTCTGGTGCTTCAGTTCGTCCCTAGGGAAATCTTTCCCATAGCGTGATGAAATATTTCAGATCAGGTAATCCAGGGATAGCGGCAATGCCCTTTTACCATTTTCTCAGTCGATTTGCTTCTCCCAAACAGTTTACTGGCAACTCGGAACTCCATGTCGGACGCTCGGCGAAACTGACGGCTGCCACGATTGGCCAGCATTTTGTTTGACATTGGCACTGCCCAATCACGGAGCGGCAATGGCCAACCTCGGCGGTCGATGGTCTTGACGACTTTCTTGCCGAGTGTCGAACTTGGAGCCCCTAGGGTCTGATTATAGTCAAGATGGGAGTGAAAGAGCGTTTTTGGCTGCTGAGTAGATGTGGCACCACAGCTTTCGTGTAATCAACTGACGAGACGTTTTTGGCCCGCTTGCAAGATCATCTCACCAACATACAAAAGGCGAGAGAGGTCTCGTGGCCTTTGATCTGCTTGTCCTTAGTACTCCTTCATCTACCTCTCAGTGTTAGCCTGTGTAATCAGCAGGACAACTTGAGATTTGCAAATGAAGCACAGGTTGTTGAAACGCAGCTTCCAACATGAAATAGACGATCAGAATTTTGGTCTGCGTCCGATATCACCTCCCCGCTTTGCTCAGTTCATAGCAGGTGATCAGCTTTTTTTTTTCGTTCTGTTGGATGACATTCAGTGTTTTTTTTTGTTTTTTACCGTCTGCAAATGACCTTTTGTAGCAAGCAAACCACATTCTTCGCTCGCGTTAGCAGACGAACCGTCTACAAATGCCGTTCTCGCTGATTCCACGAGAGCCATATTTGATCTTGCTCCCTTCCTCTCGCAATGACCAAAATCAGATCTCGGGCGATAGCAAAACTGGCACGATAGGGCATCCGAATTTAATGAGATGCACGACCGCAGCTCGGAAGGGGAGGAGCCTGAGGACGAGAAGGCCAATCGGGAGATGAAGGGCGTGGAGGACGAGGACGCCCTGCGGGCGGTGGACCAGTCGGACGAGGAGGAAGAGGAGGAGAAGGAGGAGGAGAAGCCCGAGGGGGAGGAGGAGCCTGCCAAGGAGGAGAAAGGGGCAGAGCCCAAGCCAAAGCCCAAGGCCGAGAAGAAGGACGGTGAGCCTCGCTATTTCCCACGTAGTGAGACCCGTCGAAGTAGACCCGTTGCTAAATTACCCAAGCATTAAGGAGAATGCTGGAAACGTAGGTATTCCTGCCGCACACATTCACCTTAGGCGCCGTTCACACTCTTGCGACTGAGTAAGACGGAGAAAGACCAGACCGGTTTTTAAGCCTTTCGCGACTTCTTAGGACCGGACGTGCTGCAGCGCGGAGCTTGTCCTAAGAGATCGCAAGAGGCTTAAAAACCGGTCTGGTATCTCTCGGTCGTACTCGGTTGCAAGAGTGTGAACGGACCTTTATCTGTACGAAAGTTGAGCGGCAAACCTGCTGAAGCTCCTCAAGAGTGCACTGCAAAGCGGCAAAGGCTCGAGTCTTGGCATAGTTGCATGCTAGCGTTGCGCTCGGTGGTAGACTGGAAGTCAATAGCCAAGATAGGGTGTTGCTGGACGTGCGTGCAAAGTGTCATTTGCTTTGGAACAGTTAATGCTGCAGAAGGCAATGTGTGCAGCATGTGTAACTACACTCTCACACGCTCCTTTGTACTTGAGTAATTTAGCAAAAGGTCTATCGCTCGGAGTTAGGAAATGTGCTGTCATCTTGGGTAGGTTGCAGTGCTATAAAATATGACACTATTGCAGTCAGACATGTATGTAATGTGATACTAGTAGCTCTACCTGGTTACTTTTTTCTGTAATGAGTAAGCTATTTAGTTACTTCTTTTTCTAGAAAAAAAAATGAGTAACATACTTGGTTACTTTTAAGGCCAAAGTAACAAGTAACGGTATTTCGTTACTTTTGAAGAGTAAGTAGTACAACAACGTTTAAACAGCATTGTTTTAATTCCAACCGGAGTGTGCGTCTATTGCGACAAAGGCAGATGGGCAACCTGAAGAACAGTATGAGAGTATAGCAACATTTATCGCTGAACACGTCAGTTGAACTTACACAGCTGGGAATGTCCTTCACCCGGCGAACACAGTAAGGTTCGTTAATTGAACCTTCTAGAATCATATACAGACTGAATGTATACCCGGAGGTTGCCAACACGGGAAGGCACTGAGCCCATTGTCAACGTGGAATTTTAGAGGCGGAGAGAACAAAAGAGGGGGGAATCGCGTCGGTAGAACGACTCTCGAGCTTAGAAGGAAATGTATTCTCAAGGAAGCGAGGAAGCATAACTGATGAAAACTCCAAGAGGCAGCTACTAATTAAGTGCAACAACCACTGAAACAAAAACAATAAACCATGAAACAAAAGCAGTGGTGTATTTGGTTGTCAAAGTAATGATGAAAGAGCTCAACGAGTAATGGTATTTAATTACTATTTTTCGGCTATGTGTACATGTCTGATTGCAATGAAGATACTACCTAGGTGAGTTAGTTGGTCCCTCATCTTAACATACTACATCCCACAAAAAAGAAAAAGAAAGTGGATGTGGTAAAGGAAGATGTAGACAGGAAAGGCCCTATTGCAAACGTAGCAAACAAAATGGCAGTGTGTTTGCTATTTTAAACGTACTGGCTTTTTCAAGTGTTGCATATATTAGTCCAGGGACTTTCATACTCTTTGATCTCGAAGAGCGCCCAAGATCTCGGCATTGGCGTGTTAAAGCAATATATGACTAGCAACAGAAAACACCCCCCAAACTGAAAAAAAAAAAATTCCCCTCTGCCCCCCCCCCCCCCCCCCCCCCTCCTTTGCAAAACTCTTTGCTAGGACATTTTCAAAAAACAGAAAAAAATGTCTTGAAAAAAATTTTTGTATTTTAGAGATTTATTTACATTGCTATGGTTGCTGCCTCATGTAGAACTTTGTTGCGGCGGCAGGCATTATTCCGGGCTTTATTTCAGCTTTCCCTTTTATATGCCACCAATCTCAGACTACATGTGGTTCTAGGGTAGAAAATAAATAAATTGTTGTTATTATTATTGTGCTGCTGTTTTATATTAAAGTATGGATGGTTATCAACTTATACTCCAATTGGGTTTAAGCGTTTTAAGCCAACCTTTTTCAGGTTGGCTTAAATAGAGCCAAGAGTTTCCAGTTTCAACACCGAAAAGCGATTACGGATGTTGTAATACAGGATAATACGGGGCAGTGTAGCTTATTCCCGACGGGTTAGGAGAAGTTTGTTGACATGAAATGGAGGCTGGTTAAGCTCCTGCCTGCAAAACAAAGAAATGTTCGCAAAATGCCGTCGTTTCCTAGGTTGACTTGCAAGTTATACAACAGGCAACGTCACCCCGCTGGAGGGCGTGAGAAAATTTGAAAGTCGGTTCGGGTGTCGCCTTCATTTGCCGTTTTCTCAATAGCCGTTTTGAATTTAGGAACAATGAATAGCGTATCGGAAAGTGTGAAACCCAAGCATTCCTAAAATATGCTTAGTAAGGATGGCTACAGAAACTGCGGGAGCTTTTCCCCTTTAGCTTTTGCAGCGAGTTGAGGCGTCAGAGTTTCTCATCTCTCCTTTGCAGTGCCGTCCAAGAGCACCTCGAAGGGAAATTCGTCCGGAGAGTCTTCGTCCGAGTCCTCCGATTCTGACTTCGACGACTCCAAGTTCCAGTCTGCCATGTTCATGCAGGTATGGTCGGCCTCGCAAATTGAACATGGCCCCGTCTGCATCGTGACGCCCTTTGTGACTAAAAGCTTGGAAGGGGCGGCACAAAGATTTTCATACTTTGGCCGGTTAATTGTGGCAGTTGGTCTATGTCGCCTATAGAATGAGGAACAAAAAGCTGTTGTTTCTTGCCTATGCTAGTTTTTATACAAAAAAAAAAGTCAAAGGTTAGGGTATGCGGAGCGCAAGTTTGTCTGCTTCATTTGAAGGAGTTGTGGTGACGCAGGACAGGGTGTCTAGCGACCGGGAAAACCGGGAATTGTCAGGGAAATTTTAATTACCGGGAGAAATCAGGGAATTGTCAGGGATATTGTCAATAAAGGAGCCGGAAACGCCATCGAGTTCCCCGAGCTATGGCTCGACGACTTGTGGAAAGAAAAATAGGCAATAAATTCTGCTTAGAGCGAAGCACGGGCTCTACTCACCCGATGTAGAGCGTGCTACCCGATCCAAAGGGAAGAGCCGACAAATCCAGTCCAAGCCTTGGATTGGATTGTAATGGATTGAGGGTGTGACACTAGGCTAGATCCAGTTAGAGCTACTAGATTTAGTAACAAATGGGAAAGTCGCAAACCGTAATTTAATCCAAACCTTAAGCCGAAAGTAGGGATCTAGCGGCCATGCGGCCATGCTGCCATTAGGTTATTGACGTGTGTGGTCGAGGGTCCTGTTTTGATTGTGTTTCCGGAAGTGGCTTCTTCGCTTACGATGTCGGCGGCAAGAAATCGCTCGTTTCTCCATGCTGGACGAACCCGAATATTTCAGAATATGCAAGTTGGATTAAGCCCGTTCAAAATTAGGCTCACAGTGCTTAATCCCTTGTGTTGTAATGGTCTTATATACTTAACCGCCTCTACAGTGGTCAGGGAATTTCACCTGAAATTGTCGGGGAAAACCTGGAAAAGGTCGGGGAACTTCAAAATAATAATTTGCTAGACATTGTAGTAGGAACACCGAGCTCTGGTTGGCTCTGATTGAAGGATAATGGGCAGACCTCAAAGCAAGCTGCCTTGAGGTTTGCCCACTGTCCTTCAGTCAGAGCCAACCAGAGCTCGGCATTCAGACATCACCGCAACCCCTGCAAGCAAAGCAGACGAACTTGCACTCCGCATACCTCAGCTCGCACCATCTCTCGAGTGAGGTGTGCAGCGACATCCCTGGGAGCACCATGTTCGGTTCCGTCTTCAGGGGCCTCCAGCCCCCCCCTCTGCAATCGTAGACTTTTCAAGGTCCGTTTCATTTACGATAGAACACCGCACCCGTTTACCATTGTCGAAGGACATGGCAAGCGGTCGAGATAAGAGACGGTTTTCCACGAGAATGATGGGGAGGATAGTTGCGGAGAGGAAATGGTTTTGTTGACTTCCGAAGGACGGCGCCATGGAAACTTGTGTACTTCGGATGATGTGTCTTGTACGTCATTCTCTCATTGGAGCTAAAGTCACTGGGTCCTGAGAAAGTAGCGCCATTGCCTTACCTGTTTCCTTCCGGGGCACGCACCAATACTAACATGTGGACAACCAAAACCTCTGGAGGCAAATGGGCTAGTTGGTATCTGTTGCAAAGGCAATTGCCACTTCGATCCTTTCCAAGCATTGTATCAAAAGCATTCCTCCCCAAATAAGCGTCTTGGGTTCTGTGCATGCGCTCGGCTTGTCAATCATGCTTATCTCCACAGATCTCTTACAACGGTATTGTTCTTTTTGCGTATCTCGAGACGAGGGTTTAATTTCCAACGCCTCCAAGGACCGACGTCACGTGTGGGGGCAGTGCGAAGGTGCGCGGTCGTTTCGCCGGCGTGTGGATAACAAGTTCTCGGTATACAAGAGATTGTTTTTATAAGGCAACCTGTGACCGCTTATTTGGATGGGCTCGCCAAGAAGGGAGAGATCAACCGCTCGTTCCATGGACCGAAATGGCGACCATTGGGGATCTTGACGCTCGTGGAGGTAGGAGGCTTCTGGGGGCAACATGAGGCCACCAGAGGTGAAGCCAGAAGTGTGGAGGGACACGCTCCCAACGGTGAGCAAAACCAAGAGGCGCTATTGGACGAAAAGAAGAGCCGACTTGGCGCCAAAAGCATTTTCGGTCACCCTTGGGCATGCCCGAGGGTGACCAAAACAGCTGTTGGCACCAGGTCGGCTCTCCCTTTCGTCCAATAGCGTCTCTTGGTTTTGCTCACCGTTGGGGGCGTGTCCCTCCACACTTCCCACCTCTGGTGGCGTCACGTCGCCTCCAGAAGCTTCCTACCTTCATATGGTGGTGGTACTTTCCCAGGATCCGGTGACTTTAGTCGGAGCGTAGCTGAACGACGTCGTGTTAACGAAATCACCGTCTTCACTCTCGTAGAAACCAAAGAAGAAGAACGGCTCGGAAGGCAGCAGCCGTGCCAACACCCCCACGAAGCACGTCAGCGACGAGAGGAAGAGCAAAGGTGAGTGTCACTTTCAAAGCCTTCTGTGGCCAAGACTACACCGCAGCTGTACGATCGTCACTAAGAAAGATTAGCCCAAGCGGTTGACGGCCCGATTGGTGAAATCGTCACACATGGCGCTGCATCGTCGCGAATAAACCGAGATCGAGAGTGCTTGGGCCATTTCCGATTACCAGTCTCAAAAATGCTTCCTAACAATTTTATTTTTTGCTACATTGATATTGTTATTAGTAATCACTGCCAGAAACATCTAAAGACGGTAAAGCAGCAGATAAGTAAAGTCGATGTTGCTGCTCTTAATGAGCAAGCAAGATGTGCGCTGTCATGTATGGCCAGTGAAAGCCTAGGGCAGAGTGGCGGCGTGCTGAAAATGTGCTTTGAGAACGGTTTCCGTCGATCAACCTATCCCGCTTTACAAACGTGGCAAACGCCCGGCAGTATTGATTCCGCTAGCTTGGCGCGACTGCAGCGCCCAACGTCGCCTTTTCACCGGCTCGGCAATTGCTCATTCGGGCTAATAGTTTTTTAGTGCCGACTGTACTTTGTGTCCCCATAATTTAAACGGCAGCAAAAGCTGATGGGAGCATTACGGTTGAAAGGGCCTCGTTTGGGCGAGTGCCCATGTTGTTCGATGTTGACGGGAGTTACATTGGTCTGCATTTGTGCGATTGCTACTGCGGGATAGACATCAGATACAACAAGTTAGCAGCCACGCTGCACCGGCTCCAGTTGAACGAGTTTTTCGCGTGAACAAACTTCTGTAAAGCCGCCCCGGCTAAATTTCAATGTGTCCAATGCATTTAGTTGAGTGAACTTTCACTTATTCAAATTTTTCTTGAATTTTGTTCAAAGGGCATTTCACGGCATGACATCCTGTCGTACTTGTAAGCCATCGAGTTCATGAGGATTTCTAACGGCGTCCTTTTAAAGGGGGGACACTACCCAGCAAAAAGAAATTCTGCAAAAAAAAGTTGATTTTGAAAAGTGACGTAGTTACTTTTCAGTGAGTGAGTGACTAGTGAGTATATTCCCAGAAAGTTTAATTAGCTTACACTGCACAGTTAATTTTTTATAAATTATTTTCTTTCCATTGAAGCTAAAGTAAAGGTAGGGATTGAAGCACTTTGAACACATTTTTCTCTGTTCCACACTTTGGTATAAATTATAGTTTAGTCAATCTATTGTTTGATAATGGCATTGCAGGGAAGGCTCATCCTTCACTTTTCCTGACTGAAATTTAATAAGGAATGCGGCTGTAGAATTTTTTAGTCAATTTACGAATGTCTTTCATGAAAAATATTGAAATTTTTTTGAAGACACAGAATAGCAAAAAGTTAATGCAGAACAGAGAATTTGCAGAAATAAATGACTTTTTGCAAAAAAAATCTTTTCATAGCAACACCCCCTAGGCATTCCGCTACATATCTAGCGAATATAAATCTTGAGTATTGTGATAGTTTTATGACGAGAGATTAACTAAATAATGTAGGAGTGTTGCTGGTATAAGCTGCTCTAATTTCCTTCCACTTTCACCGACAGATCAGAAATTTTGTTATGCACCCTCTAGCATGGCTACCAGCCTACCCTGCAAATGCCATTAATTTTAAGCCGAGGATTCAAAAGTTGACCATCCTGGGGGGTGTGGCCCCTTAACAGCTTCCACCTGAATATTGCAACCCTATGGTCTCAAGTCATGGATGAAACCTTGCGTCTTCATTGTGGTTTACTTGTTGAAACATCTTTTTAATGCAGAATTTTCTTTTTACTGAGGCTAACTTTGATTTAGCCTTGAAGAAAAGAGAGTGAAGCGTGGCCCATTCCCTTTTTGCTAAACAGCCACACTATGAGCTCTGCCTGCCACACAGTGCAATGGTGAAACAAAAAAAAAAAAACAAGGAGGGACAGACGACAACGAGATCCTGAAAAAATTTGCTAGCTGCAAAAGCTCCAAAAACAATGAGAAAGAAAACAAACAAAAAGAGACGGTACAAAAGAAGCCTGTGACGACATTAAACATGGCATCGCGTGCCTGGAAGGCTGAGACTGGAGTTCGCGTCCACTGCGTACCTCATAATATTCAATTCTGCATAAGACAGTTCAATCAATAGATCAAAATAAAATTGATTATATATTTTTTTCTAGAATAGTGTAAGTATTTGTGATGCTGCTTCATAGTTGCTTTTATGCTTTTAACATGAAGCATTCTTTAGCTAGGTGTTCAGCATTTCATGAAGCCCAAAAATGAAGCCTGAATAAAAGCGTGGCTGCTAGGCTCGATACTGATTGGTTGACGGGTGGGAGAGGTGCTCGACACTGATTAATGGGGCGGTCATGTGACCAGGGGTGGAGTGACGAGGAAAGGTAGGCGAGGAGGAGTGGGGTTAGCCAGGTATGTCATTTCAGGTGTGCACATGCCCCACATTAAATTATCTGATGAAGAGTGCAGTGAATGTAGGCTTCTGGCTGAACAGTCTAGATGGTCTGCTAAGCAATGATGGAAATGTTTGTGATGCTGGAATGTTTCACATATGCAACACAATAGCCTAGCGATTTTCCATACACTTTTTCATGCAGGGTCGTCAAGCAGCAAGGCCCTCAAGCGCAAAATGAAGGAGGAATCACCGGCGCCTTCCAAGATGGAGGGTCCCAGCCCCAAGCGATCTAGGGCAGAGGCCGGGATGACGTCTACACCCCCGCTTCCAAGCAGGTCAGGGCTCTCGCGGCTCTGGGTAGCTTTACGGTAGCAGTATTAAAACAACGCTTCCGGCACCAGTTTGTAATCATGTAGATCCATCATGAAGAACCGTCACAAAAAACTGACATCGCAGGACGTCATTATGACGTCTTCGTAACGTGTTTGCAACGTCGTCGTGACATCTTTGTAATGTTGTCATAACGTCCTCATGGCATCACGGAATGTAATGATGACGTCATCATGATGGTGCCATGACATCACAAGATGTCATGATAATGTCACATGAGGTCATGTCACTTTGTGATGTCATGTGACTTCATGATGCCTCACGCATGCCTAGCTCGTTCATAACGCATTCTGTGCTGCCCAGCCTTCGTTAGCATGGTCAAGCTATTGTAATTATTTTTTAGAGAGGCGAAGTCTATCTTTGTGTACGAAATGGCGAAAACTCCCCGCTGATCACCTTCTGACTGGATGTAATTTATGAACTCTACAGGGCTCCCACATAAATATTTTGTATACATTTTCTGTTTGTTTTTCACACTCCAAGCCAGGGGCTTTGGAAGTATTTGGAAGAAAAGGGGGAGGGGGGGACGAAGGATTTTCTTCCTTCAATAGGACGTATCTCACTAAGCATTCCACGCATGGATGACGCCGCCATAACTTTGCGGGAGGAAGGCTACAATCTCGTGCCCTGCTTATGCATGCCAGCAATGGGTTGCGTGTAGAAAGGCTGAAGTCGCCTTTATGTATTGTGGCAGTGACGTAATGAAACTGGCTAGTGAAATCGGTCTATTGGTTACTAGAAATGTCTTAAATGTGTGTGTGTGGCAGGGAAGGAGGCAATCACCCCTGCCTCCCTGTTAACGATCACTTTTCAAGGCATATACCAACTTGCCGGTGTCCGAACGTCAAGTGCCTTTGGGATATACTAAAGAGACGGGCAGTTTTTTCTCAGAGTTAGCAACAACCACATGTGTAGGCGAGCTTCACTCTACACCTGTGCTTGTCCCATCTTTGCAGTTGGTCCGGCAGCACAGAAGGGATCACGGAGGACTCGGTGCGGCGGTACCTCCTGAGGAAACCGATGACGACCACGGAACTGCTGCAGAAGTTCAAGTCCAAGAAGACGGGCATGAGTAGCGACAAGCTGGTCAACACCATTGCGCAGATCTTGAAGAGACTTAATCCAGAGAAACAGACCATCAAGGGAAAGCTTTACCTGTCCATAAAAGCGTGATGCTGCTTATTTTTGCATCCTTTGCTACGAGGACGCCTGTTGAGGACAGTGTTGGCGTCAGTCATTGTCGTCTGGGGTGGTGTTCCGATGGAGGGACTCTGGAGGATGGCACATGGTGAACTGGTGCGACGAGAGCGAGGGGACGCCATCGGTCTAGCTTGGGCTGGCCTCGTTCGCAAACGTGTCTTCCGGCCAATCACAAGCCAAGAATAATCCCCTTGCGGTGGTGGCGAGCAGAAACCGTAATCCCCAACCAGTGGCTTTGTCTTAGCAGGTGTGTAACAATTGCGCCATTTTGATACAAACCCAATTTTCTGCACCTAGTTGTGTCAAAAACGCGAAATCGGTCGAAATTGCGCCACACTGCGCCAAAATAACTAAAAAAAAAAGTTTTAGGTGACGCTAGATTTAGCGGGAAACGAAAGCTTGGTTGGCCACATTCAATCTCGTCGTAGTAAAGTATATGGTACAGTATATGGGATAGCGCAAGCAACCGCCGGATTCTAAGATTTCAGCTGTGGTACCCTTCTATACCTACGATACGTGGTCTTTTCCCGATTTCCCTACTACTTCCCACTGTCATTCGTGACTGCATGCTAACGGTGTGCTGTCACGTCGTGTCGCTGTTTGGCCGTGGAAGGTACGACGCACAGGCTATCAAGATGAGCAAACTTAAGTATTTCTTTCGTGTTGAGAGCAGTGTTGCGGAGTTGCCCCTCCAGAGTTGGAATGATTCCGGAATCATTCCGCATTTTCGCGACCCCGGAATGGAATGGGAATGGAATGGCGGCGACGTTGGGGGGAATGGAATGGGAATGGAATTAGATGCCTTTTGCCCGGCATGGAATGGGAATGGAATGGGCCCGGTTCTTTACATTTTTTATTTTTTTATTTTTTACGTTCAGCTATACCGAGCCAGTCAGGGAGTTGGTTGTTCAGAAATAAAATGTGCGGGAAACTGCGAACCCGCGTAAAGCCCTAACAGACTTATACGCCAAAACAAATGCAATACAAAAAACAAGCGTCAAAGCAGGGGGGAGGGGGGGGGGGGGGAGAGCGGCCGTGGCGCCTTTCACCAGTGAAGTTCAACACGTATCCGAATGCGTCTGCGCCTGTAATACTGTACGGCTCAAGGGTACGTCGACGTCGGTGTAGCGGGCGTGAACGTGACCCGCTGCTCTGGTGATCCGATACCCAGGAAGGAGGCCAGACGTGGCCTCGCTGTGCGGACCCAGACTTTGTACACCTGCGACTCGTCTCGAGCGCGCTGTTTCTCGGAGAGCTCGCTCCTGTGCCGGCCATCTCAGGTCGCAATACACGGGGTCTCTGTTTGAATGATGCTAGGCGAAACATGAAGACTGCCATTCATGCGTCGGAGGCGGAGAGTCGGCAGGAAGGACCGTCACAACAGGGATGCCACCGTATCGATTTTTCAACCATAACAGAAGATAAGACATGTGCTTCAGGATGCTTCAGGTGGTCCACTTTTCTCGAAAATTCCAAATGGAACTACCTGCATGGTCTTCAACGAGGTCACCTACAACGAAAGTACGTATTGTCCTTTCATACAGCAGCGTGGGTAAAGTTTCACGTTCAAGGCAACACCTACAGATTCAAGAATACTAGTTCATCCCACCGTGACATCATGTGATCAGTGCTGACAGGGGATGCTCTTATTGGACAGGGAAGTGGTGATGTTTTGATGGAATTTATTTAGTGGTCGAAGTCTTTTCGCATCACTGGTCAGTCAGATAGGATGCCAGGGAAGGGACCGCGGTCAATCCTTGATGGAACGTTTTTTAAACCCATTGAGGACTCTTCGTCCGGAACCACTACCTTCAAGGCGAAGTGCCAAGCCTGCGAAAAAGTAATTTCGGGACCAGAAAAAAAAAAAAAAAAAGAAACTTCTACTTCAAACGTAAAGCCTCATCTCAGTTGGCGTCTCAAAGAAATTTGAAAAGTGTATTGCATTATCAGTATTTATATTTCTGCCCTCCCTAAAATGTATTCTTGTATTTGTATTTCCAAAGACTCTTTGCCTCTTTTTAAAATGTATTTACGATAGGTATCGCGATACATTTTTACAGATATATTTGAGACTTGAGTATGAGTATCTTAGCTGCTATTTTCATCTATCCCAGTATTTGTATTCCCAAACACATTTTTGAATATTTCTGCCCAACCCCGCAACGTAATGCAGCTGTCAAGTGACACTTTTAACGTTTAGGAATTAGAGGAATGGAATGGAACGATTCAGCCATTCCAGGAGTGGGAATGGGCCCAGTGTCCCCATTCCGAGGAGTTGAAAGGAATGGAATTATCGAGAACTCTAATTCCCCGGAATGGAATCAGAATGGAATGGGGGTGCCCATTCCGCAACACTGGTTGAGAGTAAACCTTTTTTTAAAAGTGCTATTGAGCGCCTTCATTGTGTAATTGTTCATTCGTGTCCGTAATCTCGTCAAAATGGACGGCGCCGCTGCCGTGAGCACTTTCTGTTATCAAACAGTTGCTTCCAGTGCGTGAGCAATCGAATGAATCGGTCACACACCCGTATTTGGCGTGCTTGTGCTGCTCATAGTTTTTCTACTAATTTACTATCTACCTTACAACTCACTTTTGTGGAGAGTTCTTTTTTTTTTTTTTCTATCTGCGCATGCTTTTTAGGAGCGTCCGATAGATGTCTGGTTGTAGTAAACCGTGCTTCCTTGTTCATGCTCTCGAATCACCGCTTTAAAAAAATGACCGCATCTCCACGTGGTGAATGATGTTGACTGGGGCGAAGCTCTGGTGGTGCTGATGATACTGATTTTATTGTTCATAGGTAGTGCTGATGGTGCTGATTTTTTTTATTGCTCATAGATAGTGCCGAGTTCTGGGTTGCGTTTCGACTTCATAATTACTGCTTTATGGTCGGTCAAATGCAGAGCCAGTGGTTCTTCTAGCCTAGCGGATCAGCTTGGACGCTTGGATTCCCTAGAAGCCGTGGGAATGCATCTCCACCGCTTAAGTCAACGGTCAATGTTAGAAAGAGAATGTGTGGTATAGAACGTGGTTATATACGCATTTGAGCATTTGACCGCAGCACCCTCTTTTCTATAAACGTTGAGCCAATGCATGCAAAGTTTAACGTGATTATATTATATACGCCTTTGACCGCAGCGCCCTTTCCTGTATAGACGTTGAGCGGCTACATGCAACATTTCATCCATGACACCCCAGCTCTTGAGTTACTGCCACATCTTGGAGCCCCCTACTCGCCCCGCAGTCGTGGCCAAGTGGTTAAGGCGATGGACTAGAAATCCATTGGGGTCTCCCCGCACAGGTTCGAATCCTGTCGACTGCGCAAACATTTCTTCTTCTTTTAAGAAGACAGATGGGATGGCAATCAATGTGAGCACGGACGCCGGACAAACAAGGCTAGACCCGACGGAGCTTTGCCCCTAAAAGTTTTGCACTACTATTGCGCTTTGGCACCAGTCCGTATAAGCTTGAGGTACCTAGTGCCCACCTAACTTTGCAGCAATCCTGTGTTTCCTGTCCTCATCTATGCGCATAAAACTCGCGTTTGCCTTTTCTGTTTTCTTTTTTTATATTTTATCTCGGTGCGTATCGGTGCTGATGACTTATTGGAACTAAGGTGGACAAAAATAATGATCAAAAAAGAGAAATCTGACTTATGTGATTTATACGGTTTATATCAGATTTTTTTATGATTTAAATTGCTGATAAGCTGCTCTAACATTTTCTGCTCCCAATCTGCTCCAACTGTAGACTTTTCTGCTTCGAAGTTGCTCCAAAATACATAAATTGCTGTTTCAAAGTGAGAATTTTGTGCTCCCAAGCTGCTTCAAATCCAGATTTTTCTGCTCCAAAAATTGCTCCAAAACCTGTTTCACCTGTCTCATCCCTGTTTTAGTGTCACTGGAGTTGTAGTCGCCCACTAAACTCCTAATCATTGTCATCTTAGTGACTGCAGAAGTGGCGTACATTATGTCGTTCAATATTTAGCAATGGAATACACGAGGATAGTGTGCGCCTGCTACTCTGCTCACCGAGCCAGTTTTTACCTTTTTGTTACAGCTTTCAGTCTTCTTAAGCCACATTGTTTTTTCTTGGTTGTGGATGTAAAGAATCAAATGTTTAGATTACGTGGACTGGATGGCATGCTGGCCCTTTAAAGAAGTGGTGCACTTTTAGAGCGCAGCTCTTAGGTGCCCGTTTCCGGCTTGAACGGCGTCGTCGTCGTCGTAACTGCAGCGACGTTTCGGCACAGTGTCGAAACGTCCGTGTGGGGTCACATGACCTCAGGGGAGTTCGGATTCCCAGCTCTCGGGGCCCTCTGGGGGGGGGGGGGGGGGTTTCCTGAGGGGGTCACGTGACCCCCCTGAGGCCACGTGACCCCAGTGTCGCGCGACGTCACGAGGGTCCTGTGACCTCCTGGTTATGCCGACCGTGACGCGTTCGGAGGGAGAAGTAGCAGGCAGGATGAAGAGGTGAGGAGGAGGGGTATACCCTCCCCTCAGTATCCTTCCCTCCTCCTCCTCAAGAGCTGCGCTCTAATTCGGCATTACAGGGAGCTGTTAACGGCTTTCATTTTTTTTAGTAAATATTTAGAAGCATGAGTTCACCAGTGTAAAAATGACAGCTCAAATACATAATTTTTCTATTGGCTAAGCCTAACTTGTACATATCCATGGATTGATACTGTGGGCCACTGCGATTCACGAGTTGATGTTGAGCGAATTGGAGATTTCTACACAAATTGAGTTTGCTCATCGGACCAAGCATGGCTGGTCTCAATGTTCGACAGTAAGGCGGTAGGCTACGAGTTTAGGGCAAGCTCCTTCCACCTCATTCCACATCAGCAAAGCGAACACCTTTCCAGCATTTGCTCTGCTGCGGTGGACAGCATTGCCAACTAGCTGCCAAGACTGAACGAATACTGAGAATAAAAGAAAAAATCGCTATATCTCTACGTGGTGAATGATGTTGATTGGGGCAAAGCTCTGGTGGTGCTGATGATACTGATTTTATTGTTCA